TTCAAGCTTAACTCCATGGTTCACATCCACAAGGTACTGTTCATTGTCCTTTTCTTAGAAATTTGGGGTTTTTGTGAATTTGGTTTAGGGTGTATGGATTTATATGAAACTGGTTTAGGGGTTTCTTCGAAATTGGTTTAGGGTTTTAGGATTTAGGGGTTGCTCTAAAATTGGTTTAGGATTTATGGGTTTCTATGAAATTGGTTTAGGGGGTTTCTTCGAAATTAGTTCAGGGTTTAGGGGTTCCTTGATACACCACATATTTCTTACCCTTTAATTCTGCTGAGCATTGGTTTTTAGATGCTTGTATTAACTACAAACTTGCATTCTCTTTCGTTAAGTAGAATGAACTTGAGACGTGTGCTATATTTTAACCCAAGCAATGACATTCTCAGCCCGTATAACTATCTAATAATAGCTATTATATTATAGCATGGGTTCGTTAGAGTGCTTAACGGTGTTTATCATGTTTGCATCTCATGCCTTAACTCCCTCTGTTCTCTTGGGCAATTGTCAGATTGTTTGAAAATAATTGTCCACTTATAATTTGTTGAAGACTCACCTTGTTATATGTCCATTTTACAATATAGAGTTATGTTTTATGCATTCATAATAATTTTTTTTTGGTTAATTATATTACACTAGGTTGATTCTCATTTGCTCATTTGTAGAGACATTCTTTTTTTTTCTTGGACTCTATCCCCCATATACATTAAACGAGGTTTCTTTCCACTAAATATATCCTCAATGAACCTCTTTTCTATTTGGATCCGATATAAGTTTTCTTTTCTTTCTTAGAAATAAAAAAACTCTTGATTTTCATGGCTACAGACATTCAAGGCATCTAATGAATAATCCTTGAATCTCAGTGTTAGTGCTATTGTAGGAAAAACTTCTTATCTTTTCAAAATTGCATCTTGTGTTGTTTGTAACACCTCAACCTAGGAATGCATGTTAATTGCTTCACTCAAACATATTGTGTGCAACATGGGAACTATTTTTTTTCCTTTTTCAGAAAAGATTATTAAACACTATGCACAATACGCTTATGAGAAAGCCATAGCCAAATTACAATAAGAAAGAGCTGGACCAAACACTCTAATCCAATAGGACACAACTTATGAAGTTACTTGATTTGGAATTTTGTTATTGTAGTCTTCTCAAAATTTAAACTTTGACATAAATATTGCTTTTTTTTACTTCATCTCATGTGTTTTGTTGCTCATTATTTCTTTCTTCTTGTTTCCCTATCCATCAATGATTATTGCACCTTCCTAAGTTCATTCTTTCAAATTTCTTCAGGATTAAGTACAGTATAAGCATTGTTGCTAACAAGGGTTTGAAGAAAACTCTTTATACTTCTACACGTTTGAAGAAGGGAGAAGTTCTTTATTTACAAACACATTCAGGCAGGTATAATGCTAACTATATATTGTACTGTGTATCTGGGATTTGACCATGATATGTTTTAAGGACTAATATTTGATTATCACATATTTTTCTTCATTTGTGTTGGCTACTGAATGTTATGTAACATAGGAGATGAGTTACTTGTAAATGAGGGAACATTGGCATTTTCCTTCCTATTTCTACTTTGTTTAGCTAAACAACATAACCGAGGAGAGTTTGCTTGCGACTTAGGTTGACCAAATGTCCCCTTAGTCTTCCGAGGAATGCGGCTCGAGTTGACTTTGTGTTACTGAGGCTTGCAAGGATGTGTCGCTTATATGACACTTGGAATTGATAGTATAATGTGGGAAATAAATTAAAATCAAGGAATTGACAGTTTTATTATAGGTACACCTAGGTGGAAAGGAATTGTTTCTTTACAATGCTTCTAATTGGTTTTGATGATTTGACTGAATGCATGATCGGTTATATGTATATAGATATGCATGCTTGATTTTTGTACGAATATAGAACATGGATATAAATGAATTTTCAAATGTTTTAACAGTGGGGTTAGTATGTTGATATTATATTTTCAAAACTTTCTTTTGTCCACTCACATTTTTAAATGTTTTGCGCGCCCAAGTCGTAGTCATGTACCAAAGCACCACCATCGAGCGATCATCACCACGATTCATCCTTTTCTCTCTGTGTAGGGTTTCTATTGTAATCGAACTATTCCTATAAATTAAATTGATTAGTATTGCTTTGAAATTGCCGTAGGGTTTTCTCTAAGGCCTGAAGCCATAAAGATTTGTTGTTGGTTGTGTGTGTCCTATCATTGTGCATGCTGAACTTTTGTGGATATGAATTGCTTTTTGTACAAGTGTAAATTTTTGGGAAAATGAACAATTTACAGAGGAGACTCTGTCGAATTTTAGGCAAAAGTCAAACCTAAAAAGAAAATTTGAATTTTAGTTAGAAGGGCAATTTGGTCAAGTGTGCTCGACACCTGCCAAGTGTTTGACACGCACAGAGTTCAGCTCAGATTCCAAAGTGGAATTTGGGTCGGGTCTTGTCAAAATTGGTTGATAGGATAAGAGTTTTTTATAATTAAAATGTGAGTATGCAATATACAATCAATTGACATTAGATGAATAGACTCAAGACACTTCAATTATTAGGTAATGTTTTCATTCTCTAATGTGAAATTCACACTCAAACACCTAGACAAGATATGTCGGGGGACATGGGAGCGTTTGTGACTATTAGACCCAATATGTGAATAATTTGACTCTATACCATATTAGAATGTAACATTTGATCCAAAACTAATTGACGATGAGTGAGGAGACTCAAATTTATTTAAATTATTAGACAAAGCTTTTACTCTCAGATGTGGTGTGAGACTCACACAATCAACGTTTTTTTAAATAGTAAATTTGATTTTTCCCCATCAAATTAATTTTTCTTACCTGCAGCCCATCAATTTACTTTTCTATTAATAAAATTTAATTTTTATAAGAAATAGCGGATGACTAAGATCCAACTTAGCAAGTTACCTAATGAAGCTTACAATTTTATTTATTGTAACTTTCAGATCCCTAAAATAAACCTCCTTAAAATTTGAGTTGTCTTTGCAATTGTTGTTCGTCCATTTATCGTGTTGGATATACTTTCAACATATTTACTTGGCCACTATCCATTTCATTAAGTTTTTAAGGTTCAAATGGTGTTTTAAATTGGCTTAAATTTAGGAATTTTTTAGGGTAAGTTATTTCTTTTTTTAATAAATATTTTTTGGTCGTATTTCTTAAATAATCAAATTTAGAATAAACTAATGTACCTATTATTTTAAAAAATTAAATATACCTATTCTCTTAAAAAAACAAAATTATAAATTTTTATTAAGAAACATTAATTTATTTGTACTTATCTTTTTAGTAAAATATACTTACATTATTTATTAATGACCCAAAATTGTGTCATGTTTCTCTTCAGCAATGTATGATATCCTATTGTATCCGACCAAAGGTGACCTAATTCAAGAAGCTAGCAAATGTTGTGGAACAGAAAGCAGGCATATCGCATCAAAAAAATGAAAGCAGGCATATCGCATCAGAAAAAAGAAAGCAAGCATGCATTTATGATCCAAACTGAAACTAGGGGGAATGCTAGCAACCTTCTCTCTAACCTTCTCCTCTAGACCTTCTCCCTTTTCCTCATGACATATGTCATTATCCTTACACTTAAAACAATGTAATTAATGCATCACACAAGCTAATTTTTATTTTCCAAATTTATCCTTATTGAATGTATTAGTTTTTTTACAACTTTATTAACACCTTATTAAAAAATATATAATAAGAAAAATGACAATTTTATTTATTCATTTTAAAAAGTGTCTTCTTTTTTTTTTTTCAAAGAGAACGTTTGTTTTTTTTTTCCACAACAAAATGACAATAAACATAAATATTAATAACAATAAACATATCAGAAGAAAAAAAAAATACTAAAACATAAATAACAATAAACATAACATAAATATTATAAGAAGCAAAAGAAATAAATAAATAAATAAACATAAATGAAAAGAAGCAAAAGAAGCAAAATATTAAATGGACAAACATTAATAACAATAAACATATCAGCAAAAGAAGCAAAATCTGTTTTCTAGAAGAAGAAGAAAAAGGGACATTAAACACGTTTAAAGTAAAAAAGGTGATAAGAAATGATGTTTTAAGAAGACTAATTTCTTGTAAAATAAAAAATCAATAGATTTAATAAGAGTAAACTTGGAAAATAAAAATTAGTTTATGTGATACATTAATGACATTGTTTTAAATATAAAAAAAAGTGACACATGTCATGAGTTAAATGGAGAAGGTCAAAAAAAGAAGGTTAGAGAGAAGATTGCTAGCATTCCTCTTTATTTATTACCATCATAATAACTCCACGGGCCGATGATTTTAAAATTATTTAAAAATAATCTTCACGCACTTCTCTTCAATAATGTAGAGAAAATAAAATTGATTAAAGAATAACTATTTTGAATTTTTTATTATAAAAATAATTATTCGAAATTGATTATAAAATAAAAAGAGAATGTGGGGACAGATGTCAAGACAATAGTGCGTTAGCCCAAATGCAACGTGTGATGTGAGTGAGTGAGTTGCTAAATATATATTTAAAAATACAAAATTAAAGCCGCTAGCGGACTAGGCGCTAGATTTGACGACCACGTGTTTTCTGCTCCAGATAACATTCACAGTACTTGACCCAAACAAAAAAGCATTTTTTTAAAATAACCTCAACATACCTACTATACCAAGCAACATACTTAAAGTAATTTTTGGTAAAAAATTAATACCTCTTCACCAACCAGGTTATTTAGCACTAAATCCCCTTTATATCCTCCAAACAAAAGACAACAAATTATTTTTAAAATAAGTTAAAAATTAATTTAAAAATAAAAAGCGCTTTTAGGTTGTCATCAATCTTATCCCCGCCGTAAATCACCACGCTCCTCATCTTCTTCCACCAAATCTCACTCTCCATTTTCCACTAAAAATACCAGTCACTGTCTCTCTCTCTCTCTCAACCACAAAACCATGCTCTCCCCAACGCCATTTTCTCTCATCTGCGCCGTTCTTCTCTGTTTGCCTCTCACCATAATCTTCACCATCACAAGCCCAACCGCCACCATAACCACCACCATCCCCACCCAAATCTCCCAATCCCCAAAACTCACCAAAACCTACCAAAAAATCAACCTAATTTCACCACCAAAATCCCTACCATTAGATGACGACTCGCTCTTCCACCTCGCCGCCCATGTCAAGTCCCGCCCACCCCACTCCGATCGTCCCAAAATCGCCTTCCTCTTTCTAACCACCACCCCTCTTCCCTTCTTCCCTCTTTGGGAACGCTTCTTCAACCAAACCCCCAAAACCCATTTCTCTATCTATGTCCACGCCGACCCGAGATTCCCCTATGACCCACCATTTTTTGGTGTCTTTGCCCACCGGGTCATCCCTTCCCGACCTGCCCAGCGATTCACCTCCACTCTCATCTCCGCGACTCGTCGTTTGCTCGCCCACGCCCTCCTCGATGACCCTAAGAACGCCATGTTCGCGCTTCTCTCTCCTTCCTGCATCCCCATCCGGTCCTTCAACTTCACGTACCAAACCCTCACTCGATCGAAGAAGAGCTTCATTGAGATTCTAGACAACGAGATCGGGGCGTACGACAGGTGGGCGGCACGTGGGGAGGACGCAATGCTGCCGCAGGTTAAGCTGGAGGAGTTTCGGATCGGATCCCAATTCTGGATCTTGAAGCGGAAGCACGCAAGGATGGTTGTGGGTGACCACCGGCTCTGGTCCAAGTTCAAGCTACCGTGCCAGCGTTGGGACACGTGTTACCCAGAGGAAAATTACTTTCCTACCCTCTTGAACATGAGAGACCCAGGCGGGTGTGTGCCTGCTACCCTTACGCACGTGGACTGGCGCGGGAGATTCGATGGCCACCCCCGTACGTATGAGGCCTCCGACTTGGGGCCCGATGTGATCACCTCCCTGAGAAATGACAGGCCAAAATACGGTGACGAGAAGGAGAGTGGCAACGGCTCTAATTGGTCCTTGAAGGAACGACGAGACCCGTTTTTGTTCGCAAGGAAGTTCCTGCCAGATGCGATTGGACCGTTGATGAGTATGGCCAATGACGTCATCTTCAAGGATTAGAGATGGCAATTTTTTTTTTTTTTTTTTTTTTTTTTTTTTTTTTTTTTGGTTTTATTTACAAATGAAATTATTAACATAAAGAAAAAAAAAATGAAACCGGGGAAACCCGGTGGGTTTGAGCAGCAAAATGTATATATTTTTCGTTTATTGTTTTTTGGGGTGAGTTTTCTTGGTTTTTCCAAAGTGGAAAAACGTGTTTGGTTAAGCCTAAGTGGTGCAATGTCTCTTTTTAGACTTTTATGAGTGGTAGTGTTTGGCTTTACAGATTCTCCTACGGCCAAACTAAGCGATTGTCAATGATCAAAAGCTTTGCCCTTTAACAAACTTAAAAGGACCTTAATGTTTTGTTTTCGTGGGAATTGCCTAACTTTGGCTCTTTTTTCTTATGTAGTTGACGCATGTTTTAATGTCTGTCATTCATCGTGTCACGTGACATAATAGATGTCATGTATTGGGTAGCGGCGTAGTCGGGCCTAGGCCAAAAGTCGTCTTGTACTACCTCCCCATCCAAATTTTTTCATTATCTCAATAGCCAAAAAGGATTGTATAATTAAATTGTGTGTTTCACATTTTGACCCATAAACATTAAATTTTTTGCTCTAACTTTCTACATGTCATATGTCATTTTTGTTATGTAGGATTTTAGGTAGGAAAAGGTAAAGGGGAAAAATGATGTGTCACGTTGTTGGCTAGAAAAGGAAATGAGGTAGGTGGAAGGTACCTAGTAAATCTAGGTGAAGGAATTGCATGTATTTACATCAGGGTTGGTAAAGAGGTATGAACTTTTTACCAAAAATATAAATAAAAATTACTTTAAGTATGTTGCTTGGTATAGTAGGTATGTTGAGATTATTTGAAAAAAAAATGTTTTTTTGTTTGGGTCTGGTACTATGAATGTTATTTGGAGCAGAAAACACGTGGTCAAATCTAGCACCTAGTCTGCTAGCGGCTTTAATTTTTTATTTTATATATATATATATATATGTAGCAACTCACTCACTCACATCACACGTTGCATTTGGGCTAACGCACTATTGTCTTTTCCATTATCTCAATAGCCAAAAAGGATTGTATAATTAAATTGTGTGTTTCACATTTTGACCCATAAACATTAAAGTTTTGGCTCTAACTTTCTACATGTCATATGTCATTTCTGTTATGTAGGATTTTAGGCGGGAAAAGTTAAAGGGGAAAAATGATGTGTCACATTGTTGGCTAGAAAAGGAAATGAGGTAGGTGGAAGGTACCTAGTAAATCTAGGCGGGGGAATTGCATGTATTTACATCAGGGTTGGTAAAGAGGTATTAACCTTTTACCAAAAATATAAATAAAAATTACTTTAAGTATGTTGCTTGGTATAGTAGGTATGTTGAGATTATTTATAAAAAAAATGTTTTTTGTTTGGGTTAGGTACTATGAATGTTATCTGGAGTAGAAAACATGTGGTCGTCAAATCTAGCGCCTAGTCCGCTAGCGGCTTTAATTTTTTATTTTTTTTATATATATTTAGCAACTCACTCACTCACACCACACATTGCATTTGGGCTAACGCCTATTGTCTTGACATCTATGCCCACATTCTCTTTTTATTTTATAATCAATTTCGAATAATTATTTTTATAATAAAAAATTCAAAATAGTTATTCTTTAATCAATTTTTTTTTCTCTCTCTATGTTCCTATTGAGGAGAAGTGCATGAAGATTATTTTAAATAATTTTTAAAATCAACGGTCTGTAGAGTTATTATGATGATAATAGATAAAGGGGAATGTTAGCAACCTTCTGTCTAACCTTCTCTTTTGGGCCTTCTCCATTTAACTTATGACATGTGTCACTTTCTTTATACTTAAAACAATGTCATTAATGTATCACATAAACTAATTTTTATTTTCCAAGTTTACTCTTATTAAATATATTGATTTTTTTATACAAGAAATTAGTCTTTTTAAAACTTCATTTCTTATCACCTTTTTTACTTTAAAATTGTTTAATGTCCCTTTTTTTCTTCTTCTAGAAAACAGATTTTGCTTCTTTTACTGATATGTTTATTGCTATTAATGTTCGTTTAATATTTTGCTTCTTTTGCTTCTTTTTCATTTATGTTTATTGTTCTTTTTTTTTTCTTTTTGCTTATTTATAATATTTATGTTATGCTTGTTGTTATTTATGTTTTACTGTTTTGTTTTTTTTCTTCTGATATGTTTATTGTTATTAATATTTATGTTTATTGTTATTTTTGTTGTGGAGAAAAAAAAACAAACGTTCACTTTGAAAACAAAAGAAAAAAAGAAGAAGAAGACACTTTTTAAAATAAATAAATAAATTTTCGTTTTTCTTATGTATATATTTTTTAATAAGGTGGTAATAAAGTTGTAAAAAAACCAATACATTCAATAAGGATAAATTTGGAAAACAAAAATTAGCTTGTGTGATGCATTAATTACATTGTTTTAAGTGTAAGGATAATGACACATGTCATGAGAAAAAGGGAGATGGTCTAAAGGAGAAAGTTAGAGAGAAGGTTGCTAGCTCATAATTCAATTTTGAAAAAGCTTTGTATCAATGGCGCCGATAAGGTGGATGGGAGAGAAGGAACCAGATCGATGTTGACATCTCAATTTCAGTGGTCTTATAATTAATTGGAATTCGCAAATCCTCCTCCCCCCCTTTTTTTTCCTGTTTTTTTAAAAACCCCCTGAAATAAGATAACAAAATCTAAAAATAGATGAAAATCATAATGAGAATAGTAAAACTGAAAAAAAAAAACATAGACAGTTTGGATTGTTGAAAAAAAATCGTAAGGAATTGACAAACTTTGTTTGGATTGAAACTGTCCATTTTTCAAAAATAGCCACGACGAAAAATGGTTTTAACTAAGATCATAATTGACAAACTTTGTTTGAATTGACAAATCTCCTTGGCTACTAGATTTGTAGCCAAAAATTCTACGAGCCAATTAATATGAAACTGACTCTGTAGATGCGCATAATGTAAACATGCATCACATTAACTAAGATCATCTCAAGAAACAAGTTTCAGTTTTATATTAATTGGCTCGTAGAATTTTTGTAGCATATTAATTGTAGAACTAGTTTATTTATTTAGTGAAAAGAATCTGATTAACCAATAAAAAATTTATACCGCAGAGCATGCATGACAATGTAAAAAGTCAATGATTTATAAATAAGATTAGTAATGCAATAAGGATTGAGATGGTGGTACAATAGAGTGCTGCTATTTTCACCGACCTGTCCTATTTTCTCACCCACCTTATCTTCCCACCCACAATATAAATTTTAAAAAACACAATCCTATTTTTTCACCCACCAATATTCCTAAAATACCCTTTTAATTATTACCTCATTTCCTCTCTCCTTTATTCTCTCTGTTCATGTCTTCTCTCTCTCTGATGCCCACACATCTCTCTCTCATTTTTGCTGTATCTTATTTTCCATCTTACACGCTCCATCTCTCTCTGTCTCTCATGTTTACTTTACAAACTAAAACTGCTTTTTTGCTGTAATTTACTATACAAACTAAAACTGCATTTTTTTCTTAAGCAACTTCACATCACGAAATTTGATGACAATGGCTGGTCAGCAGGCAAAAGATGACCAACCCTTAAAACCAAAACCTGGCTCACGCTCCCCAATTTCTGAACATACCCAGCAACCTCTTTACCCATCTTCCCAACTTTCTGGTCTGCTGATAGAAACTTGTACATCCCCGGGTTTTCACATTTTTAATTTGTTTAAGAAAAAAAAATTAGAGTCCAAGAAATACTCATCTCCAAAGGCTTTAAGCAATCATAAAGATCTTAGAAATTCTGTTCAAATAGGATTTCCTTACCTTTTCGCCAAAATCGTTCTCTTCAACATCCATTCTCTTGTTGTTTTCTTCTTCATAAACCATTTGATTAAATAAATAGAAAAAAGAAGAAAATTATTTGAGAATTGAGTTCTGAGAACTGAAAAGTCATACGAGGAATCATGAGAAAGGAGTCATAGCTTTCTTGTGTTTTTTTTTTCTTTCTGCCAAACGATAAGGTTACGTGAGAACATAAGTCTGCGTTTTTTTTTTCCTCTTTCTTTTTCCTTAAGTCATTTTAAGTCATTTTACAATAAGGTTAAATTTGTCTTTTAAGGTTTAAAGATAAGATGGATGGGAAAATAGGACAGGTGGGTGGAAATAGCAGCACTCTAAAAAAATTGCCTTCATCCGTTGGAAATCTCACTGCCCTGGAACTTTTACGGTTAGATGGAAGTGCTATAGAAGAGTTGCCTTCATCAATTGGAAATCTCACTGTGCTTAAAAAATTATATTTACGAGGATGTGAAAACCTTGCAAATATGCCACAAAGTATTTATGGGTTGCAAAATCTGGGTCTTATTGATCTTAGTCGATGCCCAAAACTTGTCACACTTCCAAATAACTTGATCTCTGAAGGTTTATCGAATGCAGAATCACTTCCTTTGGAGGTTCGAACCAACGCAAACAATCCACGCGATGGCGACTTCATGAGGCATGGGGAGATGTATTTTCAAGAGTGCAATGTATCAAATATTGATTCCTTGTAGAATTTTTGTTGCTGGTCCAACTTAGTGAAAACTAATCTATCCGAAAGCAATTTTGTCAGTCTTCCTGTGTGCATTAGCAAATGTGTCAACTTGCGGGAGCTTAATTTGAGGGGTTGCAAGAGGCTTGTAGAAATTCTAGTACAACTTCCAGCGTCTGTAGCAATGATCGATATGACTGATTGCATATCACTAGAAAGATTTTCAACATTGTCAAAGATATTGGAAGACGAAGACATGCAAGGCATTAGTAACATGGACTTATCTAATTGCCATAGGCTATGCGATAACCTAGGGTTGGATCTTTCAAAGATGGCAAAATTTTTACTGAATCAGGTGACATATGTATCTTTATCTATATAATTAATATGCATACATTACATATATTGTTAATACGATACTATGTACGCTGCAAGCTGGACTAATTAATAATAATATATATGCATGTGTTGTGTTGTGTTACAGATGAAGAGGAGTGAGAGGATTATCGTTACACTACTTGACAGTGGCAGTGAAGTTCCAGAGTGGTTCACTTTTGGTGATGACTTTGATGACTATGATGAGAGTGAATTTGATTACGTTGATGTTGATGGCAGGAGTTTTCGTAATTACAAACTTCATATTGAAATTCCTTGGACTTCCGTATTGGAGAACACAAAATTGGTTTTGTTTGCTGTTTGGGAAATTACGGAATCATTTGTTAGCCCTTGTTCTCTTTTATTTAATTGGATGATTATCTAGATTAGAAGTATCTGTTTGGAAGAGAGACAAGGGAAGGTAATGTGTGGCTGGAATGTATTCCAATTTCTTATGAACAATTAAAGACACCTATTTTTCAAGTTACTGTTATCGGCAAAGGGTTGCACATCAAAAGCATTGGGGCCCACCTGGCTCTTATCAGTATGTCAAAGGATGGTGATGATGATGGCAAAAATATTGATAAAAATGAATGAGATGATGATGATGATGTAGGTGATGAAGTTGGACCCAGAAAGAGAACAAATATATGACCTCTGTCTGCATTTCAATGTGAGTTCGCATCACTTTATTTTATTTTATTTTTTTATTATTAGCCTCCCTTTCAGCACAAAATTGGTAATAAGTTTCTATTTTTAATATTTTTACGTGTTGTATTGTTGTTTACCATTTAGTGTGTTTCAATCGTAGAAGAATTCTAAGGTAATGACGTTTTGTGTACTCTCTTAGGTGTTGATGTTGAAAACTTACTTGGAGTCTGGACCAAAAGGTGTGTTTATACCAAAATCAACAGCCAATAGGCATCAGACACGTGGACCAAATTGGAGCTATGGAGGCCTTCGGCACATAGCTACAGTTCGTTCCTACCGATCGCACGATTAGGGCAACTCCACCCCCAGGGGCACGTGGCAGTCCCACAATTGGAGTCCACAGTCCCAAGGCCTATGAAAGAGGACAACTATCCCAGCTTGGAGGTAATCAATCAGAACTTACGGCATACTGCCTATTGATCTGTAGTTCAAACTTACTAAATCCGTACTTACTCAAGCATCGGAGAGCCTTCGGCCGGTACCACACCGGTGCCCTAGGCCTTACTGAGCGTTTGTTATCTTGCAGATCGAATGCCTTACCAAGGCCCAGAGCATACCGAAGGCCCAACATCACTAAGTTGCGCAGGAAAGTGCCGAACCATTTTTCTGCGTCAACAGTTTGGCGTCGTCTGGTTGGAATCGAAAAGACATTACAATTCCTTACAAATCAAAAAAAAAAAAAAAACAAATGGGGACCACTTCAGGACAAACGTTCTTACCGGAGGACGGACTACCGTATGGTATGCCAAGCGGAGCAAGCCCCGCGCTGCACCCTAGCACTCCCTTCGTTAATCCTCCGGTGCATCAAACTACGGTCGAAGCGGAGCTTCTGGCTCAAATGATTTCCCTTCGGAAGGAAATGGCCAAGCTCCAAGAACATAACAACCTCCTCTCGTCCAAGGTAGACGAAACTCAGCGGCTGCTTAATCAGCAGGAAACACAGAATATTCAGTCTATAGAACCTTCCCAGAGTCTGCAGACCCCCGGTCGGTAGAAGAAAGGGAAGAAGGGGGCAAAGGCAACGCCTGCACCTTCCAAACAGCTGGTAGTCCCGGTCCCACGGGACTAGCCTCACGTACCGAAGAAAGTCTACACCGACTATCGCTATCGGATAAACGACAAGGATGCCGAACGGCAGAGGTCACCAATCAGGGTCAACGCTCACCTGCGGGACTCACGGATGAGGGTCCTTGGAAACAAATCACCCCTGAGAAAGGTCCAAGGGTTAGGATCGGAGGTAGAATCTGACGACGAGTATGCGAAGGCAAGACCACCAAGTATGCGAAGGAAACTCCCACGGAGTATTCGAAGGCAAGACCACCAAGTCCGAGGAGAACTTCCGAAGACTACATTTCAGAGGAGATCCCAAGCCGAGACCCTGCTATCCGTCTGCTCTTCCAGAGAGTCCAGAAGATGGAAGACGACTGAACCCGGTCCCAGGAGCCTGACTGGGGGAAACTTCGACCTAGACCCTTTACCGAGCGCATCAAGAAGTCCAGACCGAACAGGGAGGTGCAGCCGTTGCGCATACCGTTTTACACTAGCGTCGAAGACCCCTTGACGCACCTTCACTCCTTCCAATTGACAGTCGGATGCAAAGGCCTTGGCGATGAGGGGAAATGCCTGTTGTTCCCATCCTCCCTTACCGGAGCTGCTTTGAACTGGTTCTACCATCTTGAACCAGGAACGGTAGACTCATTCGACGAGCTGAAGTAGATTTTTCTGAACCACTTCATGATCCAGATGGATCGTCTGTACTCTGCCGACGATCTGTACACGGTTCGGCAGGGAGAAGACGAACACTTACGGGAATACGCTGCGCGCTTCAGTCATGAGTACTCGAGGTGTCCGAAAACGGATGATAGGGCAGCGTACGACGCCTTCAAGAGTAGCAACTGGCGCACATATGACGAACTGATGAAGCAGGTGGCAGTCCACGCCAAGGCCGAATATTTCAACTCCAAGCCCGGGCCTTCGGCTCGGCAGGAGGAATCGGCACCCAAGAGCTATCCAGGGCGGATTGACGACTCTTCGGCAGGACACAATCGAAAGGACGACAGTGATCATCGGCAAGGTAACTCAAAGAAAGGGCGTGGGAAATACGGTCGCAACGACCACCGAGCGCCCCTGCCGAATCTCGACCGCGCTCAGGAAGTCTTCACTCTGTTAAATACAACATATGAGGCCGTCCTGATGAACGAGCATGAAAAAATCCCGAAACCAAACAACCGAAAGCCTAATCGGCAGGACAATCAGGATACTGGCAAATTTTGCCGATATCACCAGCAGAACAGCCACAACACCGAAGACTGCATTAGTCTGAGGAAGATCATTGAACGGCTGATTCGAGAGGGAAAGCTGGACCAATACATTGCCAGACCCCAACAGGCACCAGCCCCTAACGCGAATTGATAGATCAACATGATCAGCACCATTAGCGGAGGCCCCATTCTGGCGGGACCCTCTAACCGATCCATGAAGCAATATGTGTGTGCCGCTCACTACCCTCAGGCCTTCGGCATTGAAGACGATCGGCATCGCAAGATCTCGAGGGTGGGTTGGGAGCCCATCACATTTTGAGAAGAAGAGGAAGAAGGGATCATTTACCCCCACGATGACCCAATTATCATTCGGGCCGAGTTCGCCGACTACGATGTAGGTCGGGTACTAATTGACACCGGGAGTTCGGTAAATGTGATCTTTGCCGATGCATTCAAAGGATTGGGAAATGCCGACAACATGGTTAACCGGCAGATAACGCCTCTCCTCAGTTTTTCTGGGGATCTGGTCCAGCCAGTCGGTAGTATCAGTCTACCCATTGCCTTCGGCGTTGCCCCCAGAAAAATGATGACCAACGACCAATTCCTCATCGTCGACTGCTCAACGGCATACAACGTCATCGTAGGACGAACGGCACTCACCAGAGTCAAAGCCCACTTGTCCCCCCACATGTTGCTGATGAAATTCCCTACCTGCAACGGTACTGGCGTTATCCGGGGGGACCAACTCAGCGCACGGACGTGCTATGTGACTGCTTTGAAATCGGTAGCTTGCAAGCCTCCAATGAAGGCCATGTCAGTTCAGGGACTACCGAATCGACCAGCTCGTTGACGCAACCACTGGACACGAGCTACTCAGCTTCATGGACGCCTATTCAAGGTACAACCAGATTTTCATGGAACCTGCCGATAGCGAGCAAACGACATTCATCACCGACCGCAGGTTGTACTGTTACAATGTCATGCCTTTCGGCCTGAAAAATGCGGGGGCAACTTATCAACGGCTCGTCAACCGAATTTTTGCTGAGCACATCAGCGGCATTATGGAGGTGTATGTCGACGACATGTTAGTGAAAAGCCGAACGGCAAGGGGGAATCTGGAAAACTTGGCCCTCGTGTTCGATATACTAAAGCAATACCGAATGAGGTTGAACCCAACGAAGTGCGCCTTCGGTGTGTCTTCGGGGAAGTTTCTTGGATTCATGGTCATCCAAAGAGGAATTGAGGCCAATCCCGAGAAAATCAAAGCCATAATCGACATGGAGACGCAGAGGACACAGAAGGACATTCAAAGCCTTACCGGACGTGTCGCTGCCTTAACATGCTTTATCTCCAAAGCGACCGATAAATATGTACCGTTTTTCAAAGCCTTGAAAGGGGGCAAACAACATATCGCGTGGACTCCCGAATGTGACCAAGCATTTCAAGAGTTGAAGAACTACATGGGCAAGGCACCACTGTTGCCAAAACCGCTTCCCGGAGAAGTTCTCCTCCTCTACCTTTAAGTATCAAGCACTGCCGTTAGCTCGGTATTGATACGGAAGCTAGAGAAGGCAGAGCTACCAATCTTTTATGTCAGCAAGGCCCTTTAGAGCGCGGAGCTTCGGTACCCGCCCTTGGAACAGCTAGCACTAGCCCTTATTGTGTCGGCACGAAGGCTCCGCCCATACTTCCAAGCGCACGAGATCACGGTTCTGACCAATCAACCGCTTCGGCAGGTACTTCAAAAGCCAGAAACATTTGGTCTATTGGTCAAATGGGCAATCGAGCTGGGAGAATTTGACATACAGTTCAAGCCAAGGCCTGCAGAGAAGGGTCAGGCCGTCGCCGACTTTATCTCCGAGCTCACACCTGCACCATCGGAAGCATCCTCTCCGAACGCTGTTATTGCAGAACCAGGAAAAATGGATGCCGAGCGCTTTGATCCTTCTATCCTTCTATGGATCCTGCATGTTGACGGCTCGGCAAAATAGCAAGGCTGTGGAGCTCGTTTGGTGTTAACTACTCCAGACGGAAGCAAAGTCGAATATGCCCTCCGATTCAACTTCAGAACCTCGAACAACGAGGCAGAGTATGAGGCTCTCTTGGCCGGCCTTCGGCTAGCCAAGAGCATGAGTGCAAAACAAATCAGCATTCACAGTGACTCCCAGCTCATAGTGAATCAAATAACAGCAGACTTCGCAGTGAAGGATGCCTCTACGGCGACGGCTGAGGTGTGTATCGTACGGTACGAGTACACATGGATGTCTCCAATTTATGCCTTCCTAATGAACAGAACCCTACCCACCGATAAGTCCCAAGCTCGGAAGCTACGGTACCGATCGGCAAGATACACAGTCATCGAAGATGTTCCGTACAAGCGAGGCTACACCACGCCGTATCTGAAATGCCTCACCAAAGAGCAGGGGGACTACGTCCTTCGGGAAGTTCACAGTGGGGTATGCGGTGACCATTCAGGGTCCCGGTCACTGGCACACAAAGTCTTCCGGCAGGGGTATTTCTGGCCGACCTTGCACCAAGATGCAAACATCCTAGTCAAGAAGTGCAACAAATGCCAACGGTTCGGTAGTGTCCCTCACATCCCTGCCGAGCCTCTCTCACCAATCGTAAGTCCGTGGCCTTTTGCCTAGTGGGGACTGGACTTGATCGGTCCTATGCCGCAAGGCAAGGGCCAGGTCAAATATGTTGTTGTTGTCGTAGACTACTTCACCAAGTGGGTAAAGGCCGAAGCCTTGGCAATGATAACTGCCTCAAAAATGGAAGATTTCATCTGGATGAACATTTGTTGCCGATTTGGAACCCCCTACGCCATCATCACCGATAACGGCAGGCAATTCGATTCGGACGCCTTTAGGCAATTCTGCACTCGCCTCAAGATCAATCTATTCTTCGCTTCGCCAGCTCACCCCCAATAAAACGGTCAGGTCGAAGCGATGAACAAAATAGTGAAGAAGCTATTGAAACGACAGCTTGACAAGGCCAAAGGAGCCTGGCCGAAGAAGCTACCAGAGGCATTATGGGCCATCCAGACATCCTACCGAACGGCAACCGGGGAAACACCGTTCTCCATGGCCTTTGGCTCAGAAGCGGTAGTCCCAGTGGAAATCGGAGAACCCTCCTACCGAACGGAAACTTTCGCCCCAAAGACAAATAAGGAGGGACTCGCCTTGAGCCTGGACCTGATCGAAGAACGCCGAGCGCAAGCCAACCTTCGTAACGAAGCTTACGAATAGCGCGTCTCTCGGTACTACGACTCCAGGGTCAGATCCCGCTCTTTCCGAGTCGGAGATTGGGTCATGCGAAAAGTCTCTCTGGCAACTAAGAATCCCAGGGAAGGAACCCTCAGACCTTCCTGGGAAGGACCTTACGAGATCATCGGCATCCAGCGTTCGGGAACTTATCGACTCAGGGACTCCAACGGAAAGACCCTCGGGAACGTAGAGCATTTGAAATATTATTTTAAGTGTAGTCACCTAGCCTACAGCAGGATAAAAGTGTAGTTCAGAAAGCCTTTGGCTTATTCTTACTCACAGCCTTCGGCAGTATCGAGTTCCCTAGCCTACGGCAGGTTTTCAATTGTAAACGAACTCCAAATGTATCTTTGCCTTCGGCAATCATTAATGAAAAGGCTTACGGCCCATATATTCACAACATTCGGTGTGTTAATTTAAAAAGATGCGGTAAAGACCATCGGTTGCAGCATACTACATTTTTAAATCCTTTTATTAGCCTTCGGCAATTAACGATTGGAAGATCACCTTATTTAACCTTCGGCACTTTAAAGGTTCACTTCAGAGTTATTCTATTACTAGCCCTCGGCAGTAAAGTGTTAAGCCCTAAGTTGCTTACCGATTCAAGGTTCACTCAAAATTTGAACTTATACTAGCAATCATTCTGCCTTCGGCAATTACAATGATTAATTTTGAACTTCGGAAGTTAGCTTGTTATTGACCTACGGCCGGTAAACTTTTATCTAGCCCTCGGCATTTAAAAAGTTCCTAGGACAAGTTAAAGCAGAAACATGCCGAAAGTAGAACTACTTGACAATCAACTCTGAATATTAAAACTTTTTGAATTAAAAGATGCCCTCGGCATCAAGTTGTTCAGAAAATAATACATGAAACAAAACTTAAACAAGGCTCAAGCGGCAGTCTCCTCCTCGGCATCAGGGGCAACGAGCTCTTCCGGGGCGTCCTCCCCTTCGTACTCTTCTCTCATCTCTTCGAGCTCAACCAGCTTTAGTTGAAAATGAGAAGAAGCTTTTGGAGAAGATTAACATTCTATGCTTGATGGAAGCTTTCTATTAAGCAGCGGCCTCTTCACCATCGGCGGTAGCCTTCTCGGCATCGGCATCGGTAGTAGCCTCCTCTTCTGGGGCATCCTCCCCCTCGTAGTCTTCGATCATCTCTTCAGTTATGCCTTCAATTTGAAACGGTAGAGCAGATCCGCCATTTCCGAGCCCACCTCCTCAAAGGCCACCTGGATCGCCTCCTTCGCCTCTAGAGCCACCTTTGCCGTTAGCTGCGCCGACTCCAGGGCTGCCAACATTTCCCCAAACTTGGTTTGATAAACCTTGACCTGCCGTTCGCCAGCCTGCATGTCCTTCGCCAAGTTCGCCTGGGCTTGGATAGCCTTGCCAACCTCGGCAACCCTAGCCCTGCGGTCTTCATAAGCCTTCTTCACCTTTTCGGCAGCATTGATGGCTCGCTTGACGCACAGCCACATGTCCATTGAAGCCTGGGGAGCAAAGGAAAATGTTAGATAAGGCTGGAAACAAACGGTACGATAAACTGAGAATGGTTAGCGCTTACCGAAGCTTGAAGACGGAAGGTACGGCTAGCCTCCTCCTGAAGGAGCTTCATCGGCAGGTCCTCGATCTCGGAAAGCTCTATTTGTGAAACGAGGGTCATGTGGTTCACAAATTGGACCGTTTTCGACGGACATGCCAGAGTGAAGGGTTCGGCAGGCGCCTCATCGTCTTCAACAGCGAAGATGGCCCGAGCAGGCTCGGTCTACCGACCGCGCTTCGGGGCTGGATCGGCATCCAGATCGACAGTGAATGGGCGCTTGTCGGCTGCTTTGGAGGAGGTGCCCTCGGTAGGCACACCTTGGCCAGGAGACGGACCAGCTGCCGTCGCTCCGGCCTGCGCTGATTCAGCGTTGAGCTAACCACGACGCTCGTTGAGGGTTAGGTCTTCAGGGTAGACTCCTCCCGATGACGCTGGTACCGCTTCCGGCTGCCGGGTCTTCTTCTTCTTTCCTTGAAGGCCGAGCATAAGGCAACGCTTGGAGGACTCGTTCATCCTCTTCGCCTCGGCAGCCCTCCTCTCTTCCGTCACTGCAAAACCAAGATCAGTAAGAATTCTCATTATGGCAAGAAATTGATTCATAGTGGACAAGTACACTTACTCTCTGCCGGATTAACAAGTTGAGCCTTGATGAGATTGGGAGTGAAGAGGAATATCGGGTAGACTCTCTCCACGGCAGGGACCTTCAGCCTTACCCTGTCGATCTGCCGGATCTCTGATTGGGTGGCGCTCGGCTGCTTCAATTTGCCTGCACACAAAAAAAGGGAAACAGAATTAAACTCCTTAAAGACGCTACAAGCAAGAGGACCTACCGAACGGTATGATGGCCTACCGGCTATTTGGAAGGTAGTGGGAATGTGGAAACGGACGGGATGTCCTGATGGCGATTCCCAATCACCGGACAGAAGCACCCGCCGTTTCCTCCCCGTGGTCGGCAGACTTCGACTTTGTGACACTGTACATATGGGAGAACTGTTCGTACGAAGGGACTCCCTCGCCAACCATGCCGAAGGCCGTGACCACTCCCATTAACGCCACCCAGAAGTTGGGGTTGAATTGGCCGGGAGCATAATTTGCGCCAAGATTCTCTGAACGGCAGGCTGCAGCGGAAGCCTCACTCCTTGCAGAAGTACATCCGTGAAAAAGATGACTTCGCCATCCTTCGGCTTACTTAGAGATTCGGTTGCCATTGGGATCCTCATCCTTACCGAATCTGGTATGAAATACTCAGTGCGATATTTTGCGATCTCCCTCTCAGTAATCCTGTTGGGCTCCAGGTAGTCTACGCCAAATAGGTGCTCCTTTGGAACTCCCATCGGCACCCTAGGATTGCTGGGAAAGACTACCGATACCCTCGGCCGAGAAGATGGTTCGGCGGCTGACTCTCCACGGCCGGAGGTGGAGGCCTCTAACTGGTGACCAACGCTCGTCTCCCTAGGCAAGGCTTGACCAACATGGCAACCGTCGTTATATACAATAACCAATGGTATCGGTGCAATCATTAGCCCCTTCCCTATGCCGTGTGAAGGAACGGAGCACGGGCCTTCACCGAGTATCTCAACATCGGTATCACTTCCGTCCCCGGCATCGGTGCCTACAGCTTCACTGTCGGAGTCAAAGAGACCTTTCGATGACTTCTCACCGAACGCATTGGGCTCACGCTCGGAAAGTGACTTCCTATCAGACATCTACAAAAACAAGGAAAAATGAGACTAAGGCTCACGCCGGATATTAGCCTACCGATTCCTACATCGCTACCTGTGGTGACTAGACTACCGAATGGAACCCTATGGTCAGTCTAGTTCAAACCAAGGAAGGACGTAACTCTAGTTAAATAAGAGAGTAAATTGAGGGTGCCGAACGGTACCTTATGTCAAGCTCTGGATGAGGACCTTGAACTATGCTTCCGATTGCCTTGACGGAAATCGCTTTTCTTGCCGTTCACAACGCTGGGAATCTCCTGGTTTACCGTTAGCCCGCATCGGAAATCGCTTCGAATTCCGGAAGCTCTCGTCGGAAATCACCTCAACAGAGCTCTCGCTTCTCACAAAATGCAAAGTGATTTCGTCTCCGGGGTCACCCCTATTTATAAGGAGAGGGGTTGCAACGGCACATCTCGAAAAACCAAACGGCGCATTAATGCGCCGCGCATCATGATTACTCTCGCCGCGTGTCGCTCATCCTATGGGGGACTGACGGCACGCGAGACACGGAAGACGAAGCGCCCATGTTTCTTCACATGTCAACTCGACGCAACCTTCTGACTTCCTCGACGTCAGCCTCTGAACGAACAAGCACGGAAGGGCCAAAGTTGAGGCCCTCCACTAGCTGGATTACCGAACGGTAGGATAACATTTCCTTCCGAAGACAATTTCAAGTCCCCTTCCGAGAACTGTCACAAGAGAACTTGGGGGACTCCTGTTTATACCAAAATCAACAGCCAATAGGCATCAGACACGTGGACCAAATTGGAGCTATGGAGGCCTTCGGCACATAGCTACAGTTCGTTCCTACCGATCGCACGATTAGGGCAACTCCACCCCCAGGGGCACGTGGCAGTCCCACAATTGGAGTCCACAGTCCGACATCGAAATTCTAAACAACTTGCACACCTCCCACGGCCTATAAAAGAGGACAACTATCCCAGCTTGGAGGTAATCAATCAGAACTTACGGCATACTGCCTATTTATCTGTAGTTTAAACTTACTAAATCCGTACTTACTCAAGCATCGGAGAGTCTTCGGCCGGTACCACACCGGTGCCCTAGGCCTTACCGAGCGTTTGTTATCTTGCAGATCGAACGCCTTACCGAATCCCAGAGCATACCGAAGGCCCAACATCACTAAGTTGCGCGGGAAAGTGCCGAACCATTTTTCTGCGTCAACAAGGTGAGTGGCTTTACTACGATGTTGAAAACTGACTTTGAATAGGCTGGCATGTGATCTTACATGACAGATATAACTGAGTTAGTATATAAGTAGGTTGTTTGCTCACGCCTCATTTGTTTTTATCTTGCAGATTATTAAGTGAGTCATCTTGCTCTGAGAAGAGATTATAAGCTGGGTGCCCCAAATGTTCGTTTTTGTATCTTTAGCATCTCCTTATTTTCAGATATTTCTATTTTTGAATGCCTCTTGGCGAGACACCTCAAGACGACTTCCTCCTGATTATTTTGATGCCATAATAATGACCTTGTGTTATATTATTAGTCCTAATATGAACCCCGTGATATCTTTATATTTATTGTTTAGCTATTTTCTTATGTAACAACGTCGGTATGTGCTAAATAATGTAAAAATCATAAATCTATATTGATGACAGCTGGTAGTTGGATGTCACACGTAAGTAATCAAGGCATCGGTCTGATTAACTAAGCGTGAATTATTGAACACAAAACTACCATGTACCCATGTTATGGGTGGCGAACATAAATAATGCAAAAATTGGGGCGGCCATGTTGAGAAAGGAGAAGACATTTCTATTTGAAAATCTATTGCTGACCTCGAGTTTAACAATCTGCTGCCCCAATAGACATTGGAAATTTGGGATATATGAAGGTATCTTGTGACTCATAATTGGTGTGTCCCTATCCTTGCTGTTAATAAAAGAGATACTAGGATATGCTGCATTTCTATCATTTGCAGAACAATCAAATCGGAATACTCCATCCTCAATGATAGGCTCAAAAATCATTGATCCTGAGGTGACATCAGTAGCGACTACCTTTCCTTCATAATCAGCCATTTTAGAGATCAAACTTTCAATAACCAACCTTTAGGCAGACCTCTTCTTTCTGCATGCCAAAATAACCATAGTAAATTTTGCAGTAATGAACTTCTTGTTAGACCTCTTCTAGCAAAAAAATCTAATATCGTATGGGAATATGCATTTTGAATCTAACATTTCACTCCGGATCACTATTAAAACTGTGAAAGAAGATTACAAAGTCGTCTGAAAATATAAACAGAGAAAATTTACGGTGTGTTTGTATCATATGAGCTATTACAACTCAATTATCACATCATTAGTGAGGTTTTTTCTCCATACAAACAGAAGGAAATGTCAATATAGAATTTTAAAAAAAAACAAAAACAAAGAGTATAAATAGAGTTTTACAGACCAAACATCAGTAATGGACTAGACAACTTGAAGTACTCCTCTACCAAGTTCCATACACCCTCAGAAAACAGAAAGCACTAAAACTAGCAACTAGAAAGTGTTGGACTTGGACTTTCTCCCTTTTCTTTCCTTTTCCTTTCATAAGTTCGAAACTAAGACTTCCCTATTTGGTAGAAGAGAGATGCTACCTGGCCCCTAACGCCCATGCCTGATATTTATTATTTACTTTCGGTTGGAATGGTGAAGTTACAAAATCTAGAACTGAATATTAGGTTAAACTACATATTCATGCTTAGCGTACTGATAAGTTCATAATTTCATACATTCGCATGACTTCTTTACTTAGTGACTTTGCTTAGTTTCTCTTTATTTTGAGTCACTTACCTCTTCTTGTTTGTTTTGTAGGTTAAGACAGCAAGAGATCGCATTTGATGCAATCCATGCTTGTTAAGGGCTGATTGGGATAAGAGGAATATGAGCTTAAAGACAAACCCAATTTGGGCCACACTCCTTGTCAGTCCAGTTTCGTGGGTCATCTTGCAGTCCTCATTTCAGCAACTTACACAGGTCAGATGAAGAGAAATCCTTGATAGAAGTTGTTCCAATGGGTGTCTATTATCACATATCCAAATTTCAGCACAATTGGATAACTTTGGAGCCCTCAGCACGTCAAAGACTGAACCAAGTTCACAGAAATGTCATGATTAGCTGCCATCACATCTACATCCCTAGAACCATGTGCTAAGTATGGGCAGCCACACATGGGAGTCAAATCAGCTCAGAAACTCAGAAGGATGAACAAAAGTCAAGTTTTCCATTAAAAAACCATACCAAAGCATGTATTTGGCAGCTGGAGCAGGTGGCAAGTATGGGCATCTGGAGCAGGTGGCAAGTATGGGCTGCTGGAGTTGTTGGGAGCAGCTAAGAGAGGTGTGCTTCACCAGCCAAAGGGGAGGACGAAATTGCACTCCATAAATAGAGGGGCTGCACACTCATTCAAAGATATAGAGAGTCAAATACACATTTTCACTTCACCCATTACTCTCATACACAAATTCAGATTCACCACAAAGAGAGAAGAGAGCTTGGAGCTGTCCTGGGAATTCCTTGCTGCCATCATCTAGTTCTTCTCCTCTCTTTATCCTATCTATGTATTTCTTATTTTCTGTATTCATAGTTATGTCTAACTAATCCATTTAGTTTGGGCTTAGGATGAAGCCCTAGTCATGAATATTCAATGTTATGGATGATTTTATAGTTAATTGATTTCCTTGCTTTCATTATCAAGTTGTTAATCTCCAGTTTATTATGTGCTTGATGTATGTTTTCTTAGAGTAGCTAACTAGGATTTTATGCATCTAGCACAGGTTGGGAAGGGGTTTAGATTCACCAATTCTACTCTCCTTTCACAAGCAACACATGAATGGCCTAAGAATCATTCAAGGGGTTAATAACCATAAGTTGACTAGGACAGATACCATGTTCTAGGACTTGTGTGATTATCATATTCTCAAGGAGCTTAATGACTCTTGTATGCTTTATTCTAAGTAGATACCATGCTTAGGTTGCATATTAGAGATCACGTGTTGTGTAGATACCATGCACAATTACATGCCTTAGGAGAATCATGCATCCTGCACCTAGATACCATAGGCTTGTATGCGATAATCTGTTGTTGATGAAGCTTGAGTCAATTTCTATGCATTCATAACTTGGATAGGAAAACTAGTGGTAGATTCCAAGGCTCTAACACCTCTCAATTATTGTTTCACAATCTGCCCAGTGTTTACTTTCGAGCACTTTCATTTCACTTTCTTCTTTTCATTTCAACAACAAAACCCCCCATTTTGAGTGCGTGTGTGGTGCTAGGATTCTGTCCTAGACCTTGAGTAATTAGCAAGAGGCATTGTTGAATTCGACATTGCCTTTAGCTAGTTAGTCAGTTTCCTTGTTCTATGTTTTTCTAGCATTCTAAGTAATTTAACTTGGAACCAAGTTACCATTCTCCATTGGATCGACCTCGTATTTACATAAGCTATACTATAAACGGTTCGTGCACTTGCGAGAATTAAAGTTGCTGTTTTTAATAACTCATTTTAGTTGTTAGGAATTGAATCAACGCGTACCAACAGAAAATTGGCGGAATTTTTATTATCTATATATAAAATATCATCACATCTCTTGAATGCTTATACGTATGTGCAAGGAATAAATTACTATCAAAAAGTGAATATTCTAAATTAGCAACGACCAAATGAATGGTGCAATTCCACATCCAATTGTTCATATTTGCAAACCTTGGATATACAAATATATTACTACCAAACAGGAAGAAAAATTAAACCAAAAAGAAAAGACTTGCTACATACACATCATAGCAATCAAAATAAGAATTAAAATAAGAATTAACATGGGAAGTATTGTGGATAGAAATCAAAATAAGAATTAGATGTGAAGAATATAACATTAGTAAGGAATACATCACAAAACAAAACAGAACAGGCAATAACTTCAAAGAGCTGTTGTAAAATCATAAACTTGATGCAAAATTAGTGCACTTTTTTTAGAATTCTTATCCCAACAAGGCAGAGGGGCACCATTGTCACAATTTGTTGCTTTAAAACACACCCAAAAACAAATCAGGCAAGAATAAGTACGAACCTGATCGATTCAAATTGAGGACCAGGCTTCTTCCTCAACCTCACCCCTGAAAACATGCTTGCATGGACTACACTGTTGCTGTTGGTACCAGAGAAAGGAAGATGACGAAGATACCCTAGCGCGAGTTTCGACGATCCCCCACCCAATCTGCCACTCAATGCTACCACTTCTCCCATTGGTGTTTCGGCCCTATATAATATATTTCTCTTATTAATTATTTTGTTGTTATTATTTTACTGTGATTAAACTTATTTTATTTCATCAAATAAAATTTACTTCTGAAAATCATCTTAAGTCCTTCCCGTGAATCCAACATCATACGAAATTAAACTTCAACCAAAAAAAAATTGAATATGAAAAAACAGAGGAGGAATCTGTAGCTCGTTCGTCGGTTTCTAGGAGCAATCTGTGGCTCATTCGTCATTTCCTTTTGTTTCATGCGAATGTGATTAAACTTATTTTATTTAATCAAATCAAATATGACTTCTGAAAACCATCTTAAGTCCTTCCCGTGATCATACGAAATGAAACTTCAACAAAAATTAAATTAAATATGAAAAAACAGAGGAGGAATCTGTAGCTCATTTGTCGTTTTCTAGTGGAAACTGGGAAGTTGGAGAGCTGACACGTAGGAACTATGATTCATTTCCTTTTGTTTAGTGTGAATGTTGGAAATAGAAAGAGAAATGGCCAAATAGTTTGATTTTTCTCTTTCTTTCTTTCTTTTTGAATTTTAATCATGTAGTTTTGTTTAAGTAGGAAACACGTCCTGTTATAGTGTACAATTGTTAAAAGAAAAATAGAAGAATTGATTATTTTTTTTTAAATGTGGTGGAGCCCACTAACTATTCATTTGAAGACTTGTTGTCCGAGTGGGTAAAGTGATGATGAAGGTGTTGTAAAAGTGGTGTCCACATATTGGAAGAAATAATCGCACATTCACGGGAAGCCAAGAAATAATTGTAATGAGACACATCATCAGAGAAGAAAAATGAGAACCCAGGCAGAGAGGAAGGAAGACAGAAAGAAGAGTGAGAGGAGAGAAACGAGCGTAGAGAAATTCTCCAATAGGGAAATATCAGTGAGTTAGAGATATTATTGACAGGACCCGACCCAAATTCCACTTTGGAATTTGAGCCGAACTTTGTGCATGTCTGACACCTGGCAGGTGCCGGGCACTTTTGACCAAAATTCCCTTTTAAGTTTCCAAAATGCTTTTCTTCAAGTTTGACTTCTGCAGAAAATTCAGCAGAGTCACCCATGTAATTCGCTCGTTTCCCAATAATTTTACTTGTATAAAAAATGATTTTTATAATCCTAAACGTTCAACATGCACAATAATATGATTCATGCAACCTAACATAACATTATTTCGGCCTCAAGCCTCTTTAAACCCGAATAAATCGTTCTGTCATCTAAACTAATCTTGACTTTTAGAACATCAAGAGTACATTAACAAAATTTCAAAATAAATTAGCTGAATAACTTTTCAATCACTTAAACTGCGACTGCACCTAGTACTCTAGGTTGCCTACGTACCCTTACTGAGGGATCAAGCCACACGTAGTTATTCCTTGTTTACACCATAATCAACCGAGCATATCTAGCATCAAAGCAACTAGCACCAAGAGCATCAACACCATGACACGTGTCACCACCACAACAACTTGCATGAGTCCCACATCGAAATTATATGCAGACCTCCCACTTTCACCTCCTTATAAATAGGGAGTAGTATCATGTGAAAAGGGGACTTCTTCTCTCCACTTGGAGAGGGATCCGGGTCTCAGAGCTAGATCCTAGGGCCGGGGACTCCCTCCTAGATCCCTGGCCTAGGCATCTCACTTGTCATCTTTATATTTGGGTCCAACCCCATGTACAAATGTAATCATACACTATTATAATGAGAACATACTTCTCCGTGGACGTAGCCCATTCATTAAGGGTGAACCACGTATATCTTGTCTCCTTTACATTTATCGCTTGCCCAAGTTTTCACATACATGCTGAAGGTCCTCACCTTGATTCATCATCCATCACACCTCATCACTAAGTTGGACTCAATCTTGGCCTAACCATTTTGAGCATCAACAGTTTGGCGCCGTCTGTGGGAATCGATACAAAAGGCTTATGTCGTTCTCCCCTTCCTCAGTGCCTTTCGGCACCCATACAATCTTCATCATATGGCTTGAGCGATGCCTTCGGCACCCAGCCATCATTTGGCATGAGCTGTGCCTTCGGCACCCAGCCATCAACCAGCGCGAGAGATGTCTTCAGCACCCACGTGCCTAGCCACATTGCCTTGCGACATGAGAGCTTTGTGGTGCCTCCGGCGCCCTCGTGCCTAGTCATATCGCCTTGTGACATGCAAGCTTTGTGTCCCCTTCGGCACCTCCGTGCCTAGCCACATTGCCTTGCGACATGCGAGCTTTGTGTTACCTCCAGCACCTTCGTGCCTAGTCATATCGCCTTGCGACACGCAAGCTTTGTGTCCTCTTCGGCACCTCCGTGCCTAGCCACATTGCCTTGCGACATGCGAGCTTTGTGTTGCCTCCAGCACCCTCGTGCCTAGTCACATCGCCTTACGACAAGCAAGCTTTGTGTCCCCTTCGGCACCTCTGTGCCTAGCCACATTGCCTTGCGACATGCGAGCTTTGTGTTGCCTCCAGCACTCTCGTGCCTAGTCACATCGCCTTGTGACACGCAAGCTTGGTGTCTCTTTCGGCACCTCCGTGCCTAGCCACATTGCCTTGCGACATGCGAGCTTTGTGTTGCCTCTGGTACCCTCGTGCCTAGTCACAATGCCTTACAACATGCCAGCTTTGTGTTGCCTTCGGCACCCCGTCATCATTCAGCTTGGGTGATGCCTTTAGGCACCTCATCATCATTCAAAGCAAGCAATGCCTTTGGCACGTCGTCATTATGAGGTGATGCCCACGCACATCCTCACCACAAGATAAGATCTCTCTTCGTACATATAAATATTGCATATGAATAATAGCTGCCCAGGTACCCAATTCAACTAGAGTACCACTTTGCACGGCTTGCATGGCTAGGAACGAGCCATTATTTCAATCCGAAGGAAGGTCCATGAAACTCACTTCCAAAAGCACCCCATGCCACGGAGAGAAGTCAAGACCTCTAATGGCGCAGGCACTGGAGCTAGCCTCTTTTCCCTCCAGACCCTTCCAAACGTCAAAAGCCCAAGCTCCAAGTTCCGAACAAAGCAACTCCCCTTGCTGACACTTTACATCTTCTTCAAAAACAAACCTGCACTGCAAAGGCCCAGCTGCAGGGATTCCAAGTCTGTCCTTTAAAGCCCAGCTACTTTCTACAAACGTTTAGCAACAACGGGGAAGGCCCAGCTCAAGGAATTCTACTTGTGCCCAGCTTGCATAGCCCAACCTACCCCGTGAGGCCTCACAAAAAACCCAGCAGACAGCCCAGCTCTTGCCAAAAACTTCCAGGGCCCAGCCAGTGGGCACAAAGTCTCAGGATCTGCCAACACCTACAAAAACCCGTGGCTCAGCCCACTTGCAAAAAGAAAAGTAAAGAGGCGTAAAAAATCTCCAAGGGCTCAGCCCTTCTAGCCCCAAGACATCTATTCTTTTCAGATTAGCCTATACTGCTCAGTTTCAAGGACCCCAGCTCCAACCCACGAGCCCAGCTCCAATTTGGGGGCCTGGACCTGCTGCAAAAATTAAAGACCCAACATATATAAAATTTGGGTCCAACATTGGGACTGCCGAAGGTCCGGCTACACCAACACCCGGCCCCAAATTTTGTCTTGCCGAAGCAAGCTAACTCCAAGAAGTTCCAGCTCTAAACCTTGTGCCTAGCTCTATTTTAGGGACCCCAGCCTCCTATTTTAAATTTTAGGGGCCTAGCCTCCTATCTTTAATTTTAGGGGCCCAGTCACCTAGGCTATCGTCACAAGAGCCCAACTCCTCGCAAGAACTAAGGACCCAAGTCCTTCCCACGAAGACAACACACTTTCAGATGCCTCCAAAATTTTTGATTCACAATCTGCTGAACATGAAGGGCCTCGAAAAATTTGATCAAGCCACCCTTGCCGAACGGCAAGGGTTGACCAGAAAATGGGGGAGCTTCGAAAAATTGCAAACCCAGCTCCTATCGAAGCTTTTGAGACCCGGGTCACGCGCACAAGTCTTGCCGATCCTACCTCCTTCAAGAATACCTCCTTGCGGTTCTTGCCAAACCCGACCTTAGCCACCCCTCAAATCATCTCGGCCTCCTTGCCGAACGGCAAGGAGCATTAAAAAAAAACGGAGGCTCACACGGTACCCCTTTACCGAAGGCATAAAAGCCCAGCTCCAACTCCAAATCTAGACTTGGAATTGCCCAGCTCCAAATTTCAGCTCTCAGCCCCAACGCCAAGGCCTCACGAGAAGGCCCAGTTGTTCCCTGCCGAAGGCCTAGCTCCTCTTGCCGAAATGCCCAGACCCAAGGTCCTTGCCGAAGGTGTAGCAGCCTCAGCTCGCTACAATAACTCAAGACACCCCGGCTGTCCAAGCACAACACAAAACTAAGCTTGCCGAACCACTAAGAGCCTAGACCCTCGGTACCCAGCTCCTTCCTACTTGCCGAAGGTCCAGCTCCTAGATCCGACGCCAAGGCCTCCAAAAAACTTCCCAATCACCCCTTGCCGAACGGCAAGGGTTGAACCAAAGATGATGGGGGTAACTCACGGTCCAAGGTCTGAAACTTCACCCCGCAAGATCTTCAGAAAACTCGAGCCAACCCTGCCGTTCGGCAGGGACTGCTACCGAACCGTTCACACATGCTCACAAAACCAGATTTTGCCGAAAAAAAAGCCCAGCTAACAGATCAAAAAGTTCTCACATTGCCGAGCGCAGCCACTGCCCTTGAAGAACAAATCACACGAACCCAGCTCCAAATGCTCAAGACACCCCAGGTTCACATCCAAAAATGACCTGGACACCCACCAACCAAAACTGCTGAAACAACCCAGCTCTCCTGACCGAAGACGTAGGTCGGTGACTAAGCTCACCACGGTTTCAGCACGTACCAACCGGATCTGCCACGCTCGTGAGACCTCACAGTCTTCTCGGCAGCCAAGGCCCCAGGCTCCCAAGCTCAGCCAATCGCAAATCCCTTGCCGAACGGCAAGGGTCATGCAACAGTAAAACGACGGACCTATCAAAAGCGGAAAAGCTGCAAATGCTCAACCACCGAGCACTTCCTAGCCCAAACTCAGCCTACCCAGACCCAAGTTCTAGCTTCACCCACTCCTGCCGAAGCTTTAACCACAACAACACCAATTTCAAAGGGTCCAGCAACCTCCAGATTCAAGAAAGGGGCTAGGTGGAAGAAGAATGGGGACTGAAACTCAACGAATGCCAGGTCTGAACCTGCCGAAGCTGTGGAAGCTCACAACCAAAACCTTCCCCATGTCCTTGCCGAACGGCAAAGACCTTGCTGAAGCTTGAGGATGCAGAGCAACGCCAAGTGACGGATCAAGCTATCAAAATCTGGTTGGCTGAGCTGAACGATATACCCAGCCTCTATTTTGACCCAGCCTTGCCGAAGCTCAGTTGTGCTCCAATTGAAGAACTTGCCGAACGACAAGGTCCATATGGATTCAAAACAAAGGCTCACCTCGGAAAGCTCCCAAGACCACCGAACTCAGCTTCAGCTTCGAAATACAAAGGTCCCAGGCTCTCTCACTGGAGGCCTCGCTCTTCAAGAGACCCAACGGCCCGACGGTTTAGCCAGCCACACACCAACACAACTTGCCGAACGGCAAGTGTCGTGAGATTTTGAGAGAAGGCTCACAAATCACGATCCCCAATCCAAGCTTTCCGACACTCCAAGAAGAACCAAGGCTCACGAGCTAGGCTATCCAGAAAGACCCAGCTCCACTTCAACTCCCTGCTGAAGGTCTGAACACTCCCAGCTCCACTTTTTCGTTGTTTTTTCTCAAAATGGACAAATTTTAAACCTAGCACTTCACTTACCTAAGCCAACAAAAAAGGCCCAGCCTTTTTGCTCAAACTACCTTCCCAAAACTTAGCTTGGGCAGGCTTGGCCGTTATTGCCGAACGGCAGGGGTCATGGGCATGGCCACACACCCCACCAAAACCCTTTTTTTTTGGACATACCTCTTTGAAACCCTTTGCCAACAAAGCCCACACCCAGCCTAGGCTATTTGGCCAAGACAAAACCATCATGGGCCTATATAAGTGTTAGCAAAATAAAAAAGAAGGGGGAATGTCTTGGGCTCCATGCACTAGAGGAAAACCCAGGCCAACAAAACCACGCAAAACATATTCTTTTATCCTTCAAGCTTCAGCCCAATCTTTTGGGACCCAAGCCTTTGCTGCCCAAAACCATCACTTGGTTACCAAACGGCAGGACCCGGGTCATAAACACTAAGACCCACAGATTTTCTTACTGAAGCTTCAAAAACCCAAAGTCTACTTTTCTTTTAAAGGTACCCAGTTACCAACAATCACTGAGACTAACACAGCTTTGTCATACCTTCCAAGTATTAACACAACTTCTAGCTTGACAACTTGGGGGACTAGGGAATGCCCTACGGTTCCCACTGAACCTGGAATGCTCTGTTATGATTACATAAAATCTAACAAGTTCCCAACCCAGAAGTTACTTCTTGACCGCGAACTTGGGGGACTACTGTTTACACCATAATCAACCGAGCATATCTAGCATCAAAGCAACTAGCACCAAGAGCATCAACACCATGACACGTGTCACCACCACAACAACTTGCATGAGTCCCACATCGAAATTATATGCAGACCTCCCACTTTCACCTCCTTATAAATAGGGAGTAGTATCATGTGAAAAAGGGACTTCTTCTCTCCACTTGGAGAGGGATCCGGGTCTCAGAGCTAGATCCTAGGGCCGGGGACTCCCTCCTAGATCCCTGGCCTAGGCATCTCACTTGTCATCTTTATATTTGGGTCCAACCCCATGTACAAATGTAATCATACACTATTATAATGAGAACATACTTCTCCGTGGACGTAGCCCATTCATTAAGGGTGAACCACGTATATCTTGTCTCCTTTACATTTATCGCTTGCCCAAGTTTTCACATACATGCTGAAGGTCCTCACCTTGATTCATCATCCATCACACCTCATCACTAAGTTGGACTCAATCTTGGCCTAACCATTTTGAGCATCAACATTCCTCTTTTAACCTTTGCACTTATATAACTTCATCAATTGTTATTTCTCAATGAAATTTGCAAATCAAAGTATTGAAACTCAAGCATGGGTTGTTGATTTTAGCACAATCTTCCACTCATCCCATACAAGCATATACAAATATAAGGTAAATTACTCAAATAGTCCTCAAACTTATACCTGATTTACATTTTGGTCCCTCAATTAAATTATTCGTTCAAATGGTCCATCAACTCTATATTAATTGCTCAATTGATCCTACCATCACATTATGTTAATGTTGCCGTCAAATGTAAGGGTAAAACCGTCCATAACCATCCTATGTTCCCCAAATAAGTGATAAAGTGGTGATACATAGGTGATAAAGTGATGATACATAGGTGATACAATGGTTATAAAGGGGTTATCACATAGATCAAAAGTCTTATTTACCTCCATAAATGTAGCATGTGCTGCTCACATGACTATTTTAACAGAAAATGTAATGGTAGGACCAAAGCTTTGATTAATAAAGAGTTGGTGGACCATTTGAACAAATAATTTAGTTTAGGGACCAAAATGTAAATCGGGTACAAATTTGAGGACCATTTGAGTAATTTACCATACAAATATATATTTAATTACTTATTACAGATAAGTAGCAACCGATAAAATTATTAAAATAGCATTGACCTTGTGAAACCTAAATGTCATTATCAACAATTTAAATAAATAAAAATGTGCTTCCTCTTTCTCATGTAACAACAAATTCATTACTTGAGAAAGTTATGAATTGTTTAACCTCTTGAAAACTTAGAAGTCCTCAATCTTTGTCTCACACAATGGAAAATATGTAGTAAAGCTTTTATCAATAAATATCAAGATAAAATCACAAATTTTAGTTTAAACATCTCATTTACCATCCACCTAGGTGTACCCCCATTTATATTCCATCAATTCCTTTAATATGCCATCAATTTCAATAATATTATGTCAATTCCAAGTATCCTATTAGTTCCATCCTCGCAAGCATCGGAAACACAAAGTTAACCTAGTTGCATTCCTTGCAAGCCTCGAAGACACCAAGTCAACCCGAGCCGCAATCCTTATACCACACGATTCAGGCATCTCCGAAACTTGTGGAGCATTATAAAAAATAACCAAACTGTTTCAAGGCTACGGGGGTACTCCTGTGGTGGGTTTGAAAACCATATCCAAAACTTATCACAAACTTTCCTTTATTCCACAAATCCATTTTTCAAATCTTTTCTCAACTTTACAAAAATCAATTTTCAACTACCTATGAATTTACACCACATACTGTTGAGAACTAGAGTCCATAATTCATCATTTCCGAACTGCTTAGTGTGTGTATATATATATAGATAGATAGATAGATATTTAGTTAATTTTATTAATCATGTCGAAATCCAATTAACAAATCATTCCATCTTGATACTATAATAATAATAATCTTAATAGTAATAGATAACTAAATAATTAAATAATAATTAAATAATTAAATAATTAAATAACTATTATCCCTAGAGATTCTGTCATCTCCAATAATGCATATAAATCCATAGTAGATTGCATGGTAATTTAATCAATGAAAAGTGTTAACCTTTAAAGAAAATCCCTTACCGAATCACTTCCCAATCTAAACTCATTAAGCAAGAAATTTCATACTAAAAGAACCACGTACTCTTAATAACAAATGTCCTCTGATTTTCTAATAATCATAACCGAGCCCAAGGCTCACTTTCACAACCCACCAATGTGATATTCCAAGCTCGCCCATTCCATAATTTCAATTATCAATATAATATCCAGGAATTTCCATAAAAAACTATAAAATAATTTCTTAATCTCAACATAATCAAAATAACTCGACTACTGGTCAAGACTCGTTTCTAGGGTCGTTTTAGTATTTCTCGAAGGGTAAAACTACATCGGAAGACTCACAGTCATCTAAGGGATCAAACTGCCCAAACTTGGTCAATGGGGCGCACGGGGCCCATGACCTCCAATTACCAATCCAAGAGTTCCTATAGGTTCAACACACTTTACTAAATATGTCCTATAAGTTTGGTTCAAATCGGACGGTCGGTTCACTCGCAATTGTATGATCGGACGGTTATCTTTAAACTAAACTTTAAATTATTGAATCGGAACATCCGGAGCTTCATTCACGATCTGTGAATTCCTACATGATCCTAGGAATGCCTACATCAACATATATTAAATTGGAGTTGATCCAACGGCCCGAACATATCGAACTTGAATAACGCCTAATATGCGATATCCGATCAACAGTCGACTGGTAACCAAATTCATATCCGACCATACCGTCGTGCTCGAGATGACATAAGGATTATTTTAGGACTTAAGAACCAGCCAAAACGTGGTCCATGCGCCAACAACGTGTGGGTGTCCAAAGCGATTCCAGTGATCGGAAAATCTCTAAACCGCCGGTCAAAACTTATACCTACATGATCACCATATAGAGTGTAGCAAATTTTGTTAACCTACCCCAAAAAGTCAACGGAAGTGGCTAGAATCGGAGGGCGAAAATTGGCAGATTTTCAATCCCTTATTTACCCTCCAAAACTCAAAAATTTCTCCTATCCAACACAACCAGCAGCTAGAGCATCTCGAGAGGTTGAGAAAGCATACCTGGATTGATAGAAATGGTGGCCGGAAGTGAGAGAACGAGCTCCTGAAAAATTTCAGAAAAACTATCGGAATCGGCTTGTTTTGTGGCTATTTTCAGTGACATCAGCAGCGGATCGAGGCTGAGGAGGGGCGAGGCTGAGGTGGTTCGTTTGGGACCAGTCTTGCCTGAAACGGTGGCCGGAGTTGGGAGAAATTTCTATATGAAGTTGGTTGGTCATGGTGATCGCAAGAGAGAAGAAAATCTAGGTTTTTTAAAAACTGAACTTCGAAATATTTACGATTATGCCATGAGCTTCTGTAGATCATAACTTCTTCGTTACAACTCTGATTTGAGCCCACTGTGTGTCTACGGACTCTTCTCATTGTGCTCTACGCAATAGTACAACTGAAATTCCCAAATTCTTTCTCGAACAAAAAGTCAACTTTAAACCCATTAAAATATTCTCATGGTAAAATTGTCTTTTACTTGAATAAATTAATATTTAACAATTAATTTACGACCAGGTTATTACAATTGTAAACACTAAAATGGTAGCCATATTATTTTACATAGTGGAAAAGTTACAGCTACTTGTTGAGACCCAAAAAATTCATGGTTGGGCCCAAATAAATTATTAGCCAAGAACGACAATCCAAGCATAAAGCGGAGTACACAAAAACCCACCGCATGCACATGCCACGCTAAATAAATAAATTCGCTAGGGGTTGAGATAAAAATATACCGGGAATACAAGCCCATGCCAAAATTAAACATCGCAGCCCTTCTCAGGAACGATAAATTAAAACATGCCAAGCGACATGCCATGCCAAGCACGAAATCGTTATCTCACACCCAACCATGCTACAAGCCTAAGTGGGCCCAAGCCACTCGAATGGCCGGGGCTTGCTTGAGTGGGTTGTGGCATGGATGGTAATAAATCAACATGAGGCCCATTGATGGGCCGAGAAATGGAAAGTCTCGGGTTGCTTGGGAGCGTCGAGACTCAAACCCATTTCTTAGGCCCAAACATGTGGGTGAGCACAAGAGAGAAAAAATAGCCCAATAGCCCAAGCAAAATAGCCTATGGACACAACTAAAAAGCCCAATATTTAACAAAAAGGCCCACTTGCTTAGGGAACCACCTTGGCCCATATAAAACTCCAAAATAAGCCACAAAGCCACAGCCCTTTGCTAAAAAATAGAAATTACGTTTTACAGAATCATTGAACAAGGACTGCTGGAGGTTGCAGCACATGAGGGAGCAAGTTCCAAGCCAGAGACGCTCGAAGAACCAAGGAATACTAGCCTGCAGGCTGTCAGAAGCACCCTTTGGACCAGCGTATATTTTCACTTCCTTTCCTTCATCAGATTTAGCCAAAGAAGGGGGAAGGAAAGAAGAAAAAACAGTAGCCAAGAATGGAAGTTCCCACTAAACAGCTGCGGGAAAAGGGGCATTGGGCTCCCAAGTTTCCTGAATTTGTGCAAATAGACAGAGGCAATTTTTGCCAAGATAGGGAAGTCAAAGAAGAGGAGGAGAAAGCAGGAAAAAACTTAGCCAAAATGGGTAGAAGCTATTAGGGTTTCTTGAAAAATGGTGGTTTCCAGCGGCTATAAATTGAGGCTTATCCTACCTAACGAGAGCAACTCAGATTCAGAGAGCAACCGTTCTCTCTAACTTGCAAAAACCCAGCCACCTCGTGCACTGTTCATCTTCTTCTCCATTTTGTTCTTCTGGCAGCTGCCAGAAGAACTCTGCTCTTCATTTTCTCTTTCCTTAGCCAAATCCCTCACAAAACGTCTCCGTTCTTACCTTAACACTTTCTTTTCTCATAAAGCAAGCCTAAATTCTCTCTAGGTGCTAAACTGATGTTGATTTTGCTCCCATGCCACATGTCACTCACGCTGAGCTAAAAAGATTATATGTAAGCATGCCAAAACCACCTATAAGCAGCCATTATTTTGGTTGGTGAAGGTAACCAAAATATTTCCTAAGGCTTTGCTACCATTTCGAAGTATTTTTGGGGCTTAATTTTCGAACTCAAACAAAGGGGACAGTCTCCTCAATATGCCCTTTACGGCAGCCCAGCCCATTATAGCTGCAGGAAGAAAAAGTCCCCTACATAAATTGGCAACTCTGCTAGGGATTAAGCCATTTTCTTCATCAATGCCTCCAAGAAAAAAGACCAGAAGCAACAACATGACTTCCCAGGATGGGCCAAGCCATGCTGACTCAGAATCACGGCAACATGCCTCTTCTAAAGAAGAAGAACGTGCAAGTGAGGGAACTTTTATCCTCACAGACCTTGTTGCAACCATTCTTGCTATGGGTGAGACCCAGAGGGAGATGGCAGAGATGATAAAAGAACTCAAAAATTCGGCTCCAAAGCCAAGTGAAGAAAATGAGAAACACCCACAAGAGGAATCTGCTGTTGCTGGAAAGGAGTCTGAACAAAAAGGACCATCTTTTGTCACTCAAGAGGACGTTGTTGCCATGTTGGAAAAGGAGCTAAGTCGTAGTCAGGAAGATTGGAAGTATCTTCCTCAGCCACTGTACCCAGCAAGCTTGCTCCAACAACCATATCCTAAAGGCTATGAAGCACCAAATTTTGTCCTCTTCGACGGAAGGAAGGGGAGCCCGAAGGAGCATGTCAATCGCTTCATTGATGCCTTGGGACCATATGCCGGTGATCGTAATCTCCGACTTAGAGAATTTTCAAGGAGTCTCACCGATCGTGCTTACACATGGTATACGACATTGGCACCAGGCTCTATTCACTCTTGGGAAAGCTTGGCAAGCAGGTTTTGTAAGAAGTATTTTCAGCATGAAGAACGAGTCACCACCACTCAACTCAACAACACTCGTCAAAAGCATGGTGAGGATCCCGTGGACTTTATGCGTAGGTTCCGGGACTTGGCATTGGATTGCTACGATGAGAAGGATGAGGAGGCGCTTGTTGAAATCTGCATCAGCAATATCGTGGCAGATTATAGAGTTTATTTGGAGAATATTGGCATTAGTCAATTTTCTCGACTACTGGAAGCTGTAAGGAAGACAAGCATGTTCGTCAAGCCAACAGGACAAAAGACTTGGAGGAATGAGAAGAAGGAAACGCATTAGACAATAGCAATAGATGACAAACCATCCAACGACTACAATTCGCACAAACCGAAGGATAGGGAGACGTATCCACCACTACCATGCAAAGATGAAGAATTTCATGCTATCCTTGACACAATGATTGCTGATGGCGCAATCAAGCCTGTCAGACCCTACAAAATTCATACCCGAGAGGAAAAGAATGATCCTATGTACTGTCGTTATCATCAATTTGTGGGGCATCCAACTACTGCTTGTCGGAGTCTGTGGAGGATTTTACATGCCAAGATACATGAGGGAGTCCTTGAACTTCCCTCTAGGAAGCAAACAATTGATGAAGATCCATTGCCAAAACAAAGGGGAAAGGAGGTAGTTGCTGTCATTACATGTTCCGATGATTTGCTCGGTGATGATGAATTGTGCCACCCCTGGAGGAATGACCCAAAGCCGCCGGAAGCTATGTGGGAACCTTGCGGGAACATGGAGAAGGCATATTGGTGTAAATATTCAAGGCCTTCAAGTTACAGCACACCATGGCCGCTCGCTGATGGATGGGGTAACAACTCAAGCATCGAAGTTTTCTTAGACATGCCGGAAGAATGCTACTCGGGGGCTTCATCGGGGTAGCAAGAAACAGCTGCTGTGACATTTCATAATCTTACAGAAGCTGAAACAAGCGTGATGGAGCATTATTTAAGTTTGAAACAAGGGCCCACAGCTTCACAGGTCCTTCAAAGTAACCCGAAGTTCAAATCACTCTTTGACCAACTTGGCTTCGGGCCTCAAGCAAGAGAAGCAACTGTTGTAGCTCTTATGAATATCTCTGCAGAGTCTAACCCTCATTGCTTTACCACTCAACCACAAAGGTCATTTTTGGGAAATGACAATGCTATTGTCTTCACGGACGAAGACATGGAAGTTCCATACCCGGACCATAGGAGGCCGCTTTATTTGGAGGGTCAAATCAACGATGTGTTTATAAGAAGAGCTTTGGTAGACAGAGGTTCCTCTGTCATGATATTACCTCTGTCTGTGCTTACGGCAGCTGGTATCCCATTATCCAAAATTGTCCAATCACAAACAAGTATCAGCGGTTTCGGGAATAAGAGTGAGGTCACAGTCGGGCATGTGCAAGTAAATTTGAAGGTTGGGCCGGTTCGGTCACTTACCAAGTTCTATGTCATAGATGTGGATGTGGCTTACCATGCTTTGCTAGGAAGGCCATGGCTCAACAAGCATAAACTTGTGGTCTCTACTTAACATCAATGCGTAAAGGGAAGGATTGGGCTGAGGCCACTACGCATACCTGGAAATCAAGCACCGTTCAACAAGGATGAAGCTCACTACTTCGAGGCAAAATTCTACACTGAATGCACAGGTGCTGGAAGCAACCCATCCAAGGATTTCGAGACCTATCTTCCTTCGTGGACTGAAATTCATGATCTAAACAATGAGGAGCTCATCACCATTGTCGATCGAAAGAGGAAGAGGCACTCGGAGGTCAACAATCATGCCTACGATTATCCCCAATGCTCGAAGGTGATGCTGCCCGATGGACGTACTGTGTACCGCTTATGACGGGGTTGGGGGCTTGACCGTGTCTTACGGGAAAGCCCCGCGTATGGAGGAGAAGTAATGCAAGCAAACAGCCGTAAGGTTCTCGATGACAAGGCACTCATGCCTTGTGTTTTCCAAGAGCCGATGACAGCACCCAGACACATGCAAGATGGATCGACAGCGGTAGCTGAGCAATTGGAAACAATTGATTTGATTGAGGATCCCTCTGCCCCAAGGCCCATCTCCATCAGCGTTAATTTAACAGATAAAGAGAAGGAGGCCATGGTATCTTTGCTAAAGGAATTCTGAGATGTGTTCGCTTGGAGCTATGAGGAAATGCCTGGCTTAAACCCAAACTTAGTAAGTCACAGTTTGAATATTGAGCTCGATACAATTGTGCAGCCAAGGAGGAATTTCCATCTCGAAATTGAAAAGCAAATCAAGGTGGAGATCGAAAAGCTGCTGGCTGCTGGATTCATCAGGCCAGTCAAGCATCCAACGTGGTTAGCAAATATTGTTCCTGTGAAGAAGAAGACCGGAGTAATTAGAGTATGCACGGATTATCAAGACCTCAACCGAGCTTGCCCAAAGGATGAATTCCCGCTGCCCAATATTGATATCTTGATCGATTCAACCTCGGGTCAAGGCTTGTTGTCATTCATGGATGGGTTTAGTGGCTACAATCAAATCAAGATGTCACCCAGGGATGCTGAGAAGACAGCCTTTCGAACGCCATATGGAAATTTTTATTACACGGTCATGCCATTCGGCCTTAAGAATGCTGGCGCCACCTACCAAAGAACCATGACAGCGGTGTTTCACGACATGATGGGAAAGGAAGTCGAGGACTATGTGGATGACCATGTGGTGAAGTCCAAAGCCAGAGAAAGCCATTGGAAAGTTTTGAGGAAGGTGTTGGAAAGGTGTCAGCTGTACGGTTTAAAGATGAATCCAAAGAAGTGTGCGTTCGGGGTTTAATCTGGTAAATTTTTGGGATTTCAAGTACACCAGCGTGGCATAGACGTGGATCCCGAGAAGACTAAAGCCATAAATTCTCTTGCACCGCCTAGAAACCCAAAGGAATTGAAAAGCTTCATGGGAAGATTGTCGTATATTCGACGCTTCATCCCAGATCTTGCTACCACTATGAGTGTTTTTACTCCCTTACTCAAGAAGGGCAAGCCGTACAAATGGAGTAAGGAATGCTAGGAAGCCTACGAGCAAGTGCAACAAATAATCACCAAGCTGCCCACTATGAGAGCACCCATTCCGGGGCTTCCTCTCAAGCTTTATTTGGCTGCAACAAACACAGCGGTTGGGGCCTTACTTGCCCAAGACGATCATGGCGGGGAAGAAAGTCCCATTTATTACGTAAGTAGGCAACTAAGGGGAGCTGAAATGAGATATCCGAAGACCGAACTCTTGTGCCTTGCTCTTGTCTATGCTCTTGCTCACAAGCTACATCTCATAGTGAAGTCTGATCCCGTAAGATATTTGCTCACAAGGTCGGTGTTATCCAAACGTCTTGCACGTTGGTTGCTACAACTGTCCGAGTTTGATATCACATGCACCACCCCAAAAACCATCAAAGGACAAGCTGTGATTGACATGCTGGCTCTATTTCCCGAAGTTAAAAAATCAACAATCTCTAAGGAAGTTCTGGGGGAGCTTCCAGAAATGGTTGTTGTGGTTACAGAGGCGGATCCATGGACCCTCTACTTCAATGGGTCTTCTACATCGAAAGGTGGAGGAGCAGGTGTAGTGCTTGTCAATCCCGAGGGGCAAGCCACGACCCTCTCATTTAAGCTGAATTTCCCATGCACAAATAATACGGCGGAGTATGAAGCTTTCATCATGGGGATGTCTACAGTAAGGGAGATGGGTGTTGAAAGAATTAAAATTATTGGGGACTCAAACCTAGTGCTGAGTCAATTACAAGGGAATTTCGCTATGAAGGAGCCAACATTGGCGCCGTATCGTACAGCTGCTAAAAGGCTTGTTCGTTCTTTCAAACAACTAGTGTTAGAACATATTCCTGGGGTTACTAATAGGTATGCTGATGCATTGGCTACTTTGGGATCGAAGCTCTCATTTGTTGAAGAACAACCCAACATTGTTGTGATCAAGAAAGACATGCCAGTGATCGAAGCAATGGCTCAAGAGGAGCAGCTGGAAGAGGATGACTGGAGGAAGCCTGTGAAAGAAAAAATAGGCAAGGGAAGTGACATCAAAGAATTGAAAGATTATGTGATCATCTTTGGAGAACTGTACAGACGCCTTCCAGGAGGTATTTTGACCCGCTGGATAGGAACAACAGAAGCACAAGCGAAGCTCCAAGAGGTACATGAGGTCACTTGCAATTTGGAGCCAATAATAAGCTTGTATCGGCGTTTACAACGCAAGGGTTATTACTGGCCAGAAATTAGGAAACAAGCAGTTGAAATGAAAGCCAATTGTCCCAAGTGTGCAACAATACCCTCCACCGAAGAATCATTCACCATCTCGTTTACGGAAGATTGGAGGGCTCCGTACTTGGCATCCTTCATCAACGGAGTCCTGCCAACCAATCCCAAGCATGCACGCAAGCTCAAAAGGACAATGAAAAGATACTTCATAGATGGGTCAACTCTTCACCGCAAAGGGTTTAATGGAGAGCCATTAAAATGCTTGGGAAAGTCAGAAGCGCAGCAAGTCATGCAAGAAATTCATGCTAGAGAATGTGGTGAGCACCAAGGAATGAAGAGGCTTTACCGGCAGCTGCTGAGTGTTGGGTATTATTGGCCTACAATGAAGAACGATGTATACAACTTCGTGAAGAGGTGCCACACATGCCAAGTTCATGCCAACTTCAGTCACAAGCCTCCCACGCTGCTGCAAGACATGTGCACTCCTTGGCCCTTTCATACTTGGGGGCTTGATTTGATTGGAGTATTCATCAATGCAAAGTGGCTCAAGCTTTACTACTGCTAAGTTAATCTTACGTCAAGCACTTTTTATTATTTGCATTTCCTTTTGTTTTAGGCATGAACTCCTTCTGTCTTACCTTCATATTTTGAAAAAAATACTCTTTTGCATGGTGTACCATCATGGTAGCAGGGGCTTTGCAATGAGATTGAAGGATTATTTTGAATATATATATATATATGTCTCCAAAATTTTACTTTTATACATTTTACGAAAAAAAAAAGCACGCCACTTAGCTGTAAGACATGTGAAGCAAAGTCATTTGGATGGGGTTCGGGGCCATCAATAAGCAGCATGCCTAAGCAAAATAATATGGGGCATGCATTCTTGAGCTGCTAGAACAATGAAACCATTGTCCCCCTTTTGATAAGCAACCAGAATATGCAAAACATCTAGGGATTTTACAAAGACCATGCATATACTAGTTTGACCCTTTTTAGGAATGACAAGAGGGTGTTTTTCAGGCCTAGTGGTCAGACAAGCATATCTTTGTTTTTAAGGATATCCAACCTGTCAGAAAATCGTCAGCAGTTCATAAAAATAAATTTTGCCAACCAAGCAATATATATATATATATATAAGACATGCAGATTACAACATGCCTCAAGCATTCAGAAATTAATAAAAGCTCTAGTGATTCAACAGTACATTACAAAGTCATAACGACATGGTTGTTAGAGTGTCCAAAAGAAAAAAAAACTACAGTCAAAGCAAGATAAAACTACACATGCTAAAGACACATGCATCCTATGGTCTCCAAGGGAACAGAACCACGCGCCAAGATAATCGATCACCAAGCCAAGAACTCGGAGGGCAGCACACCTTGAGAAAGAGGAGGTGATGTCGGAAGCTTCCATGAAACTCCCATAGCGATCCATAAATTTCCTCAAAATCACGATTGTCTCTGGATACACAAAGGTGCCTTGAAAGGGTGCATGACCATCAAACTTTTGACAAAGCGGGAGAAGCTCATCGATAGATCGGAGGATCTTAGTACCATCGTCAAAGAAGGCTTTGAACGCCATGAAGGAATTCTCCCAAGACATGCTTTTCTCCGATAAATGCCCTTCGCAGGTACCTATGATAGGAGCATCACCATCCTTATGGTTGTCATCAACCATCTCACCACAAGGCAGTACTGCTGGAAGCTGTGGAGAGGTGCCGGAAACTTTGCCGAATGTGCCTAGGCTAGGAGGAGTAGGAGGCAGCACTGTTGGAAGATGCGGAGAGGTGCCGGCAGCTGTGTCAGAGGTGCTCAGGCAAGGAGGAGTATGAGGTAGCACCGCTGGAAGCTGCGAAGAGGTGTCGGCAGCCATGTTGGACGTTCTTGGGGAAGGAGGAGCAGGTGGCTACGCTGCTGGAAGGTACAGAGCAGTGTCGGTAGCTACGCTGGACGTCCCAAGAGATGGAATAGGATGTGTATTCTCCGCACCTTGTGAGATGCTCTCAACTTGAGAAGAAGGGAAAATGATGCAAAGGAAAATAAACCAAAATGATAGGAGGCATGAGAAAAGGGAAGCCAATTAAAGCATGGAAGATGAAAAGTAAGCGATAAATACCTTGCCGACAGTCTGCACAGTGTCAGTAATAGTAGCAGGAAGGCCAATGACAACCTCCTGTGAGCAACCCGTCCTGTCCTCAAAGGTGGGCACAACCTGCGGGAGAAATACGGGGTATGAATTGCAAGTCACAACATGCAGCACGCAACGCGTATATACCAAGTAAAACAAGCAAGAAGGTTATTTGATACCGGTTCAATGTCAACATGGCGCTCATGGTCACTAACAAATTCGAGAGGCATGCCTGAGGTATCCGGCTCCTCCAAGCGAGTGTTGGGAATTTGGTTTCTACAGCCATGGTTCATGCCGCCCCTTTCTCAAGAAGCTGAACTTAGTCAAGCAAGCGGTATAGGTGCCCCAAGAACATGGGGGCTAGAGGGAGCGTGCTGCTGTGCGCTATTGCCAAAGCCAAAGGGAATACCCGCTTGTGTAGACAGTCTTGAGAAAAATCACAAAAGATGAATCTCCCAAGCCATATGATACAAATGCCGCAAGACGACACGGCTCATTCCTATTAACATTCCCGAAAAATTGTATCCAGTTGCTAAACTGTAGGGAAGTGCTAGGAGAAGTTGGAGCACCCTTCCGTAAAATCTCAAGCTTTAGTTTATCTTTCAGAGTCAGCACAATGTGGAAGGGGTATTGGTTGCCGCAAAGTGGGAGGTGGAAAATATTGGCTACATCCTCAAGTGTGGGAGCAAACTCTCCCCATGAGCAGATAAAGGTGTGTGTCTCGGTGCTCCATCGCCTAACCACGTGCTGGAGCATCTTGGCTTCAATATGAATGTCGCAAGTTTTAGAAATAAAGATGGCATCCAGCACCCCTGCCCGACTCAGAATGTCACAAGTGGAGGGGTTCCTCAATTCACGGTCAACCCACTCTGACCAACCCTTGCTGGTGCCATATGGATATTGGAAGAATAAAGGGATTGCCGAAAATAGACCCCTCTCTATGCAGCATCTCGATATGGATGCGGGATCAACCACTGGAGTTGTTTTCGGCGCTGGCTCCTCGTCAATGATTATATCTTCATCAGCGCCCTTAAGCAAAGGAGGCGGCCTCCCTCTTTTCAATATGTCATCTGTGGAATAGAGATGATCCCTAAGGATGGATGATGGATTAATGGAGGTCATGATAACTCTTGCCGAAACGATAAGTATCTGCACATAGAAATATGGAAAGAAGCAAAATAGAATTAGCACACGTAAGATACGTGTCAAGTATGGCTAGTTGAGCTCATCCAAGCAAACATGCAATTTAAAATTCAAGCTCATGACAAGTAAAAGTCTCACTCCGTGATCAACAAGCATGACAAGCAGGTCCCTTCTCAAAATGAAAATAAAATAAAATAAAATTTCAACCAGGCAATACAAAATATGCACTCTGTCAGTTTTTATTCTCCACAAGCAACACACACAAAAATCCACGATTGATCAGGCATGTGTTCTCAAGGAAAGAAAGCCTAGGCCAAGCACCAGTCTACACCTATTCTAAATACTCAAAGTTGGCAGAGTCATTTACCAAAAGGCTAAGATAGAAGCACCAAAAATCCGAGTTAGAAGACTAAAGGATTTGAAAGTTCCAGTAGCAGAAACGTCAAGGCTTCCAGCACCTACCCTCACCTATGCCTGAGACATATATACCTGCACATAAATAAATAAAAGAGAAAGCACATCATGCCAAGATTAGCCTTTTCACATACAAAGAGGAAGCCTGTGTAAAATAAAAGTGAAGAAAAGGGAAAAGGGGGAGAAACCCAAACCAATGGTTTCTTCTCACAGGAAAAATGGGTACCCTTCCGGTAGCCCTAACAAATCAAAGAAGAAGGGAATCTCAGAGGACTAGAGTAGGCATTTCCTTGCTAGCACCCACGCTAAAAGCATCCACGACGCTGCAATGACAAAAAGGTCAAAAGAGGGTTTGATGCTTGACTGCCAAAAGAGGGGAAATATCCATGGGTATGAGGAACCCAACCAAATTTCACCAAATAAATCTTAGGGGAAAACAAGAAAAGGCATACCTCATTGAAAATCCCAAGGGATGGCCTTGAATGCACCAAGAAGAAAAGAAAAATGGGAGATTTGAAGAAGAAACCCACGACCCTTCCAGCAATGACAAACGGGCTCCCTTTGGACAAAGACGAGATGACGGGGTCGAGTCTGACCTGGGCTTTCTTCCCAGCGGTTGGAGATGGATGATTTCGGCCTGATTTCGTCCTCTCACTTGGTCTGAGTTCGTGGAGGAGCAAAGGAGAATGAAGGGAGGAGGACTGGAGAGAAATTTTATTTTGGTGCATGAAAAAGGAAGAAAATTGGAGGAAGTTTGTGTCTGGTACGAGAAAAGGGAAAGAAAGGGAAGAAAAAGAAGAAAATAATAATAAAAAGAAGAAGAAGGCGGTTGGCGTTGGGAAACTGCAAATAATCGCTGGGACCAATCATGGCACGCTGTCATTTAGCACGCAGGAAGAGGAGGAGTTCTCTACAAATAGAAATCTGATTTTTTGGGTTAGGTTTAATTATTCGGCCCATTCCAGCATCTGTCCATGGCCCTTATAATTAAGGGGGCTAATGTTGAGACCCAAAAACTTCATGGTTGGGCCCAAATAAATTATTAGCCCAGAACGACAGTCCAAGCGTAAAGCGGAGTACACAAAAACCCACTGCATGCACATGCCACGCTAAATAAATAAATTCTCTAGGGGTTGAGATAAAATATACCGGGTCTACAAGCCCATGCCAAAATTAAACATCGCAGCCCTTCTCAAGAACGATAAATTAAAACATGCCAAGCGACATGCCATGCCAAGCACGAAATCGTTATCTCACACCCAACCACGCTACAAGCCTAAGTGGGCCCAAGCCACTCAAATGCCCGGGGCTTCCTTGAGTGGGTTGTGGCATGGATGGTAATAAATCAACATGAGGCCCATTGATGGGCCGAGAAATGGAAAGTCTAGGGTTGCTTGGGTGCCTCGAGACTCAAGCCCATTTCTTAAACCCAAACATGTGGGTGAGCACAAGAGAGAAAAAATAGCCCAATAGCCCAAGCAAAATAGCCTATGGACACAACCAAAAAGCCCAATATTTAACAAAAAGGCCCACTTGCTTAGGGAACCACCTTGGCCCATATAAAACTCCAAAATAAGCCACAAAGCCACAGCCCTTTGCTAAAAAAATAGAAATTACGTTTTACAGAATCATTGAACAAGGACTGCTGTAGGTTGCAACACATGAGGGAGCAAGTTCCAAGCCAGAGACGCTCAAAGAACCAAGGAATACTAGCCTGCAGGCTGTCAGAAGCACCCTTTGGACCAGCGTATATTTTCACTTCCTTTCCTTCATCAGATTTAGCCAAAGAAGGGGGAAGGAAAGAAGAAAAAACAATAGCCAAGAATGGAAGTTCCCACTGAACAGTTGCGGGAAAGGGGGCATTGAGCTCCCAAGTTTCCTGAATTCGTGCAAATAGACAGAGGCAATTTTTGCCAAGATAGGGAAGTCAAAGAAGAGGAGGAGAAAGGAGGAAAAAGCTTAGCCAAAATGGGTAGAAGCTATTACGGTTTCTTGAAAAATGGTGGTTTCCAACGGCTATAAATTGAGGCTTATCCTACCTAACGAGAGCAACTCAGATTCAGAGAGCAAGCCTTCTCTCTAACTTGCAAAAACCCAGCAACCTCGTGCACTGTTCATCTTCTTCTCCATTTTGTTCTTCTAGCAGCTGCGAGAAGAACTCTGCTCTTCATTTTCTCTTTCCTTAGCCAAATCCCTCACAAAACATCTCCTTTCTTACCTTAACACTTTCTTTTCTCATAAAGCAAGCCTAAATTCTCTATAGGTGCTAAACTCATGTTGATTTTGCTCCCATGCCACATGCCACTCACGCTGAGCTAAAAAGATTATATGTAAGCATGCCAAAACCACCTGTAAGTAGCCATTATTTTGGTTGGTGAAGGTAAACAAAATATTTCCTAAGGCTTTGCTACCCTTTCGAAGTATTTTTGGGGCTTAATTTTCGAACTCAAACAAAGGGGACAGTCTCCTCAGTCTGCCCTTTACGGCAGCCCAGCCCATTATAGCTGCAGGAAGAAAAAGTCCCCTACACTATTGCTCTTCGATGACATAGGCATGTCCGAATCTCGTTAAATATTGTGTCTCATTTACTTTACGTGCTCCTCAATATTCCGTCATATATCGTTCATTTTACAACAATTATGTTTTTGTTTTTAAATGCAACAATTTTGTAGAGACTTTCAAATGAGCTGCACATTCCTAATTAGTCTAAGTCAACTATTTGATTTTGCAAGATTATAGGCTCGTAATTACATTCCTAGAATAGTTTCCTAGGCTATGTATATATTCTTTCTATAGTTGTACATTGGAATAATCAATGAAATATTATTTCACCCAATCTGATATGGTATCAAAGTAGTCGATCATGATTGTCCCTTGACCTAACCCTAACAATCGCTTCCGCAGTAGCAACTGTAATCCAAACCAATTTAGATAATTGTTCTCATGATTCAACAAATATACAACTCAATACCAGCCCATTACCTTCCCTCTAGTCAAATCATGTTTTTGTCTTATTCTCCTCCTTTGCAAATCATTTTCCACCTTTCTGAGCATCTCAACCCCAATAATACTTTTAAGTTCCCAGACAAAAGCAGCAGCCGTTCTCTTTGCTTTTTTTCCCCTCAGCCCAATATATATATATATATATATATATATATACTTTGCATCACTTGTAAGCCATTATCATGGCCAAAGATGATGGGTCAGCAAACACCAATCAATCCTTGGTGTCAGGAGGCTCCAACACTACCACACAAATCGTCACTTTGCATAGTGACACCTCCAACTTCTCCGCAGGAATCAAACTGGATGGGAATAATTATTCTCTATGGCATCAAGTCATAGAGATGAAAATAGTTGGGCAAGAAAAACATGGCCACTTGACCGATGATATTACCCAGTTTGTAGCCACAAATCCCACATTTAATAAATGGCGTGCATCGGATTGCTAAGTCAACAATTGGTTGTTTGACTCAATGCAACCTAATCAGATTAAAAGGTTTATCCGTTATGACTCATCAAAGCAAGTCTAGATGCAATCAAGCAAACCTATTCAAATGGTGCTGATGAAGCCAAGATTTATGACCTTCTGAGATTATTCACATTGAAGCAGAATGGAATATTACAGTGAACTCATTAAGATTTTTCAGGAGCTTGATCAATTAAGTCCCAGCAATATGGATTATCTAAAAGACATTGAAACTAAATGCAAAGAGATTGATCTTCTTCGAGTTTATATCTTTCCTGTAGGTTTGGACAATTATTTCGATCAAATCCGAGGAGAGATTTTGAGGATGGAGCCTAAAACTGAACTTGAGGCAGCATATGCTCATATTCAAAGAGAAAGTAACTGACACGAAACCATGTCTGAAGCTAGTGTAACCTCCGATGCCACAGTTTTGGCTACTACCAAGTCCAAACAATCTCAGCTGAACGATCACAGTGCCGACCCTACTCGTAACCGGCTTCCAATGAATTGTACCAAATGTGGATTAGATAACCACAAAATTAAGGGATGTTATGAGATCATTGGTTATCCACAAGGATGGGTTCACAAAGGCGGAAAGAAGGATTCGACCAAAGCCTCATTTGCATCTGTTGAGTCATCCTAGGAGACTGCATTGGAACCACCATCAAGTACATCTTGCTCCAAGCCCTTGGCCATCTTAGGTACCTCTTGCACATCTTCACTTACTTGTAATAGATCATGGATTATTGACACTAGCGCTACTGATCACATAACATCTAGTTTACTGGGTTACAGTTTACCAAACCATCAAGCCAAACATATATTATCAGTGCCAATGGAACCACCTCCCAAGTTATGGGAGAAGGGTCCTTATATCTTACATCTTCATTAAGTTTTGATCATGTCTTAGTCCCTTCACTCAACTATGACTTGTTATATGTTCCTCAAATCATTTATTCCCTTAATTGTACCGTGTGTTTTTGGCCATTGTATTGTTTGTTTCAAGATCTTCTCACCAGGGCTGTGATTGGATGTGGTATTAGGAGGGGAAAGTTGTATTATCTTGACTTAACAAAAGACGGCAGGGCTGTCTTTGTTTTTTTAGTCTGTTTTTCTATTGTTGCTTGTTTGGCTTGTGGATTTCTTATCCACTTGTGTGTTCCGCTTCTTTTTCTTTCAATAAGTTTCGTTTCTATTAAAAAAAAATCTCAATTAAGAAATTAATTGGATGCTGGTTTGATAAATAACATATGCATTGGGCCTTTTAATATAAAGTGGGTTAAAGAGGTAAAAGCCCAAATACCCAATTGGGCTCAAGGCATGAGTGTTGTATGACAACAACTCAAATGAGCACAAAGGAGGGCCCAAGCGGGCCGAGGGGGAGAAGACTCTCCTTCTCTTATTGTGTCACATTTAGAGACTTTTCTCTCTAGGGTTTAGAAAACTTTTCTGCATCTCACTTTCTACTTGCCCAGCAGAATCTTTCCAAAGGTTTTTGAAAAAACTTCTTATGTGCCTCTGAGCATTCAAGAACCCATTTACTGGTTCAACCACTCTTGAACACTTGAGGGTTACGTGGATGATTGCATACACATAAACACTTCCCCAAGTTGATTATACTCTTTACGGCTGAATGTTTTTCATTGCTTGAATTCGTTATTATTTGTTCAGCTAGTTTATGTTACTTATGAGTATACAATTGATTGTATACATATAGCTTTCTACAAGTAAACATTTCCAAGATTTTGGCTAAACATTTGTTTTGTTTCATTGTTGTTATTTTGATCTAAACTATATGAAGTTCACTACTTCTAGTTTAATCATCACAACACTTAGGTTTCATTTGTATGGCTCAATCATACTTCATGATTGAGATAGATGAATCTATGAAACCATAACTCCCTTCATACATCAAACTACATGCAACTTGAGCTTGGTGCTCTTGAGAGGATTTGCTGCTAAGAGATAAAGAAAAGGTGTTTGCCGAAAGGTTGGATTGTAGCTGCCTATAGGTGATAGATGAGCTAAGTCTTCTTTCGTTTTTCTTGTATTTCTTAATTGTGAGTAGATTGGATCTCTCCTGACTTGGTGCCCCCAGTTTTTTCCCCTTGTTGGATTTTTTAGGTCAACAATTATCGTGTGTTATTTACATTCCACTGTTACTAGTTTTAATTTATTAACCATGAAATTGTTTGTGTTTGTGCTTGTGTGCTTTTAAAGAAGTTTAATTTAAAAAGGGTAGTCTTTTCTCTTCTACTTGCCTACTTGACCACACCCCCACACCCCCCCCCCGCCCCCCCCCCCCCACCCAAAAAATAGGCTTTTAGGGCCTGGTTTTATAGCTATCTATTGCTTTATTTTTTGAATTTGTTTTCTTGTAATTCTATTTTAAAAACTGTGTGACTTTGAGTCAATTAATAAAACACATAGATGTGAGATATCATTTTCTCCATGATCGTATAAAGGAAGGAGCTATTAATCTAGTTTATTGTCAAAGTGAAGATCAGGTTGCAAACATAAACTAAACCACTCAAAGTGGCTACTTTTGTGAAGTTGTGTGGGTTACTTAGAATTTGCTCTAGTTCTTCTTTAAACTGATTGCTTGAATAACATTCAGTTTAAGGGAGGGTGTTAAAGTTTCAGTTATTGTTTTTTTAATAATTCCTATTTTATAGGATGTTATCGTTGGTTTTACCTATTTCTTAAGAGAATCCCATGAGTTTAACACTTAAGTTATGGGATATCTATTGCTTTATTTTTTGAATTTATTTTCTTGTAATTCCATTTAAAAGCAGACTTTGGGTCAATGAATAACACACGAGTTCTATAAACTTTCACATGTGTTCTTCAAAGTATCGTTCAGTCTCAACATACCCAACTGCCCAACCATATATCTGTGCAAATATAACTTGGCTTGTTACTTGATATCTAATTGTCGGGTTTTTTATTATAAATATTTCACTTTTGCTCAAATGTTACATGAAGCAACTTCTAAGTGGAGTTGATCACTTTCATATTCGTACTGTCAAATCTTCTCATTGACAATAAACTAGATTAATAGCTCCAAGGGTGAGGTCTAAGTAAAATTCTCCCTTCTTTATAATTTGAACTTCTCTTTGTTTTTTTTTTTGGGTCGAAATTTTGAACTTCTCTTAAGCTTTGTAATTAAGTAGATTATTGCTCTGATATTCTCATGTATAGTGTGGTGACATGTTTAAAGGGCCCGAGACCCAATTGGTGAATAGTATGATATTCCATGATGATAAAATAGGTATTTTAGTCTACCGAGTGAATTGAATATAAGAATGGGATTTTTCTCGATTGTATGGCTAGGTAAACGAGCTCCTTGGTTACTATGTTTCGCAAATTGATTTGAAAGACCTTTGGGCCTTTCTTTGTTTTGGCACTCATATTAAGTATATAAAGAATCAATTGGTCTTATACATTTTGTTCCACATATTACCGTTTTTTTTTTTACTTCTTATTGCAATAAAAAATATTAATAATTCTTCGTGTAATTGTAGCATGTAGCAACTTCTTCTTGTTGAAGCCATAATAAAAAAAAAAAAAAAAAAGAAAAAAAAAATTAGAGCAATCCCTAATTACTAAGAAACATCTGCTAATTCTTGAGCAAAGGTAGTAGAAAGTTTTGACGTAACCTTCAAAAAATTTTAAATCTGTGAAAAAGAAGAAGTATTAATCTCATAAGCCTATATAAAGTAAACTTGGTGCTAATAAACTTTTAACATCATATGTCAACTTCATTTAATCATTTTATAACAAACTATTATAAAATAATTGATGCTCTATTTTATGTTTATACATATAAATTTTAGAAATATATATAAAGTAGTTCTACGTTGATATTGTATGTGTTAAGGCTACACTTACAATAAAAAGATATTGATTTAGGGTCAAGCTCAATCTCTCATAATTTAGAATTTAGTGTTTGAGGTTCATACTAGAAAAATAATTCAATTCTTAGTCAAACACAATTTTAGGACAAAAGATGTATCTAGTGGATATGAATACATGTTCACATAATATAAGCATAAACAGACGTTAATCTCAACGAGCCTATGAGGTCAGCCACGTCGAGAAGGCATGATAACATAATGGAACGTCTTCTCGACAACATAATGGAACGTCTTCTCGACAACATAATGGAACGTCAAACACTTAATTGTAATAAGGAGGCACACAAGGTGCATAGTCTACATGAATTTAACCTAATGCTCTGATATCAATTGAACGAATCCGGCCCGAATTCTCTATTGGAATCCGTGACGATACCCTCTCCCTATCCGACATTAGGCATGTGTAGGCCCAAAACACTAAAATACCCTTCATGCCCTAATTTCAAACTACTTTAAGGCTTGACTTGTATCGGAAAATTGGCAGAGCCTCTCTTGAAATTGGCTCAAAACTCGAAAATCTACCTGCATAGTAAACACAAAGTATAAATCACACACCAATTAGCAAAAGTTTCACTGGGCTTCAGGCCCCTCTTTACCAACATAAGGAAGTCAGCAAAAACATCTTGACATAACTGAACATAACAAACAAATCCTAAACTTGCGATTGCACCTAGGTTAGCCTAGGTTGCCTGCGTACCCTTACTGAGGGATCAAGCCACACGTAGTTCTTTTTACTATAAATCACAATTAAGATAATACAGAAATATTCAAAGTGAAACTAACAATAAAATTCTAGAGTCATTCTTTATCTTGATTTCAAAAAGCTATATAATTGAATGTCATTCCATATAATTATGTATATAACTGTTCAACTAGTTTAATATTGTAGACCAAAACACACATGTACCCACACCTTTTACCTGAAAGCCATACCTACGACCATTCGTATAATGCATATGTCCTACAATCACCCACCAGGGAGTACATGGAAATTATCATTAAATCCGAACGCAACCGAGGAAAAGAAACTAGCCAACCACCTGTGTAGACAAATCGGGCAGGTGACTAGAGATCATGGTCAATCATGTGCAGATAATATAGGCAGGATGGCGAAGAATATCTTGTTAACTGTACAAACATATTAGTACAGCACTGTTCTCCACAAAGGTGTACTCCAAACATAATCCGTCAATTCCAAGTACTACACATGTGGAACAGTTTACTCCACATGTGTGGCACGTCCTAGCAGAACTCAGGGACAAATGGTCAACTTGAGAGCGTAATCCTAGCAGGACTCAGGGAAATACACTCAACATGATAAACCAAATCCTAGCAGAATAGGGGCACACAAGGTCAGCCTGAGAAGCAAATCTTAGCACAACACGACTCGGGTGTCCCTGAGACTCGTGGGGGCAATGTCATACGAGCATAGACAAATTTGAAGGCAACTAGGGTGTCCAAAGACAATTCAAGGGCAACTATTTATCAGAAGAAATTCTGAAGGCAACTGTATGTTCAAAGATATTCCGAAGGAAATTGTATGTCCGAAGACATTCTAAAGGCAACGATATTTCCAAAGACATTCCAAAGGCAACCATATGTCTGAAGGAAACCGGGATGTCCGAAGACATCAGTATCTTCGAAGGCAATAGTATTTCCAAAGGACACACAAACTAATTTTAAACCATTTAACACATATATAAAAATAAACATATAACCAAACATTTAAAATCAACTCAACCCAACTCCGCACAATAAAACATAAATATATCATGCTTGGAAAGTAAAAGTCATAGAATAATAAATTACAAATATTTAATAAAACTTTAATAGCATAATACTATTTTAAAATCAAACAACCAAAACACAAACACCTCCTAACCAAAAGGTCCCTGTTGAGCCTATTCTTAACAACTAAAATGAGTTATTAAAAACAGCAACTTTAATTCTCGCAAGTGTACGAACTGTTTATAGTATAGCTTATGTAAATACGAGGTCACGGAGAATGGTAACTTGGTTCCAAGTTAAATTACTTAGAATGCTAGAAAAACATAGAACAAAGAAATTGACTAACTAGCTAAAGGCAAGGTCGAATTCAACAATACCTCTTGCTAATTACTCAAGGTCTAGGACAGAATCCTAGCACCACACACGCACTCGAAATAGGGGGTTTTGTTGTTTAAATGAAAAGAAGAAAGTGAAATGAAAGTGCTCAAAAGTAAACACTGGCAGCAATCAACAAGTTGTGAAACAATGATTGAGATGTGTTAGAGCCTTGGAATCCACCACTAGTTTTCCTATCCAAGTTATGAATGCATAGAAATTGACTCAATCAACAATAGATTATCGCATACAAGCCTATGGTATCTAGGTGCAGGATGCATGATTCTCCTAAGGCATGTAATTGTGCATGGTATCTACACAACACGCGATCATGGTATCTACTTAGAATAAAGCATACAAGAGTCAATAAGCTCCATGAGAATATGATAATCACACAAGTCCTAGAACATGGTATCTGTCCTAGTCAACCTATGGTTATTAACCCCTTGAATGATTCTTAGGCCATTCATATGTTGCTTGTGAAAGGAGAGTAGAATTGGTGAATCTAAACCCCTTCCCAACCTGTGCTAGATGCATAAAATCCTAGTTAGCTACTCCTAGAAAACATACATCAAGCACATAATAAACTGGAGATTAACAACTTGATAATGAAAGCAAGGAAATCAATTAACTATAAAATCATCCATAACATTGAATATTCATGATTTGGCAAAACCAAAAAAAAAGTGTCCAAATAGCATTACTATAAATTTTATCGCAAAAATTAAATCCAAGGACAATTGTTTAATGTTCTTCAGATACACACAGAGTTTAATTAGACAAATGATTGAGATATCAATTAATTAGACAAATGATTGAGATTTAGGGTTTGTAGCCAAGGGGTGAAATTAGTGAAGGGTTAGGATTTGGGATGGTTTATTATGCCAGATTCATTAGCTACAAGGGGTTTCTTGATATCCATTTAATTTTCAGTTTTATTGAAAACTGAAAACATGTTTGGAAACAAATTTCATTTTCTATTTCAAAAAAGAGAAATCTAATTTTCAGAATTACATACCCTTATTATTATTATTTTTTAACTCGAAAGTGTTTTTAGTTTTTAGTTTTCATTTTCATTTTCATTTTTTTTGTCCTCACTTTTCATTCACCAATTTTATATCACCACACATGCATTCAACTCCAGTTACTAATACTTGATATTTGGGACCTCCTGAATTGGATATGGCCCCTCAACTCTTGCATTCAGCCGAGGACATCGAAGCATGACAACTTTCAAATAAAAAATTTTTTTTAAAAAAACATCCTAACTTTAAAAATTTCACCAAAAAATACTATGAACTCTTTGTAACTTGCACTTTAATTCTATGATATCTAATTCACCATTTGACCGATTTTTTTTTCTTTTCAATTTCTAAGTTTCACATAAAACTGAAATTATTAACCAAACAACTTTTTAAACAAGATTTTTTTTTAAACTAAAATTGATCACATGCAAATCAGAAAGACTAGTTTGGTGATTTTCTTTTGCGCTCTTATTGTGGATAATATTAGGCCTACTTGGCTATTGCATAATTGGATTTGGGCACATGCAATGAATAATATAGCTGCTTCTTTATCGACCTTAAGCCGGGAGTATTTTTATATATGGTCTGACAACCTTTCTTTTCAGTGATCAAGAGTATTTGTATAAAAACTAGAGAAAACATATCTACACGTTGATTCTTTATGACTGATATTGATGTTAATATGTTATAGGTACGAAACCTTGCTCATCAAAGATATAATCGATGTGATATGGAAAAGATTACGTCCTACATCGTTTACCCCTGTGGAGAACTCAGTTGGATTAGACTCAGGTATGAACTCAATTGATTTATTGTTAGGTGCAGGAGTCGATGATGTTCGCTTTATAGGGACATGGGGTATGGGTGGGATTGGTAAAACAACTATGGCTAGAGTTGTTCGCGAGAGAATCTCTCCTGAATTTGAATTCAGCATATTTCTTGAGAATGTCAGATATAATGTTCAAAAAGGTGGTCTAATATCCCAACAAAGAGAAATTCTTTCAAGGATATCGATGAAAACGATTGACATATTTGATGTTCATGAAGGATCCACAATGATTAGAAGATTACTTCATCACAAAAAGGTTCTTCTCATTCTCGATGATGTGACCGACTCAGATCATTTAGATTATTTGGCTGGAAATCAAGAGTGGTTTGGTTCTGGGAGTAGAGTTCTTATTACAATTAGAAATGAGCATTTGTTAATTGAACATGGAGTGAAGAGAAGATTTCAGGTCAAACCTCTAAATCATGATGACGCTCTTAAGCTTTTTAGTTGGAAAGCCTTTGGAAAAGACCACCCTGAAAAAAACTATATTGAATGTCTAGCTGTGTTGTGAGTTATGCCGATGTTCTTCCACTAGCTCTTAAAGTTTTGGGGAGTTTTTTGCGTGAAAGACATGTAAGTGCTTGGAACAGTGCGTTGGGTAAACTAAGAGGTATTTGTAACACAGTTTTGGGGATACTTCAAATAAGTTACAATGATCTAGATGACAAGGAGAAGAAAATTTTCCTAGACATTGCGTGTTTTTTTAACGGGGAGAGAGAAGATCGAGTTATAGAAATCCTAGAGAGTTGCGGCTTTTGTGCAGGTATTGGAATAGAAGTCCTCATTGAGAAATCTCTGTTAACTAATTCATATGGAACTCTATGGATGCATCAGTTGCTCCAAGAGATGGGTCGTGAAATTGTCAATCGAGAGTGTCTTGATGAGCCAAGAAATCGCAGCAGGTTGTGGCGCCAGGGCCGTCCTTGAGATTTTGAGGGCCCTGTACGAAAGTTAAATTGGGGCATCACATCTAATATGAAAATAAAATAAATAAAAATTTGCCATAACTTAATGTCATAAACAATTTTTTTATAACTAAAAGTCACCATGAATAAATATGTAATGATAATTAGAAATTAAATTCATAAAAATTTAAATGTTTCTATTTGATAAAATTAAATGTTTGGTACAAAAATAAGCTCTTTGTGCCCCTATAAGGTCCCTTGCTGCTTCCAATAAGTAATCTGTGTTTAATATGAAAAACAATTGGTAATTACAAATTAAAGAGTAGTTGCACACAAATTCCTGAAATTTGAATCTGACTATTTGATTTTGAGTGGTCTTTATGAATTTAGGAATTAGGGTTTTTTCTTTTTGGTGTTGAAATTCCTGAAATTGAAAGAAAAACAAAAATTGTCAAAGGATTGGAAAAAGAACCAAAGAGAGATTGATGAATGATGATGATTACTTACCAGAAAATCAGAGTTTAAGAGAAAGAAGAAGCCATGAAGTTTTTTTTGTTTTGTTTTGAATGAAGAAAGTACTTTTCTTAGAGGAGAAAACCTTTTTTTTTAGGTTTTTTTTTAGGCCTCCTGTGGTTAGCTTTGATGTTTCCTTTTATTTCAAGGCTTTATAATGCAAAAATAATATAAAAACAGGAAATAGACCGCCTTCAACAAGATTCGAACTCTGCCGCTTCATTAAATGTAGAAGCGTTGGAACCAACTCCACCAGAGAAGCCTTTTTGGAAATGTCTAGCATGCTATAGTATACATACAATTTCTACAATATTAATATATATTAATATATATAATATAAAGAATTTTTTTTCGGGGCCCCTTAAGAATTGGGGGCCCTGTGCGGTGGCGCCACTTGCACCACCCTAGGGCCTCCCCTGTGTGGTGCCATGAAGAGGCCAAGCATGTCTTGAGCAAAAATACAGTAAGGGGACTCCTAGTTTACAAATGAGTTCAGTTCTGTGCATATGTTAGTTATATGAGCTTCACTATTCTTTATCTGTGCATGTTTGATAGGGAACAGACGCACTAGAAAGTATAACCATGGACAAAACTGGGCCAGTGGTGCACGCGAATGCTAAATGCTTTTCAAGGATGAAGAAACTGAGACTTCTCAATCTTGCTAATGTGAACCTCTCTAATGATCTTGAATATCTCTCCGATAATTTACGAAGTCTTGAATGGGCTGGGTATCCTTCAAAATATTTCCCCTCACATTTCAATCCAGGGAACCTACTAGAACTTAACATGTGCCATAGTCACATTGAATCTTTTTGGATGGGTGTTAAGGTACGTTATTACTGCTTTATCTTCTATTACCTTTAAACATCGAAGATTTTTTTATATCTTTTATGTGTTCTTACTTGACAGCCTTCCATAGAATTTGAAGCTAATTTTTTTGCTGTGTTCTTTTGACAGCTTTTATACAATTTGAAAATCATTAAGCTCAGCCACTCTTTGATGCAGGAAGTCCCTATTACTCAAGACCTATTTCAATTTGTTGTTCCTGGAAATGGAATTCCCAAGTGGTTCAATCATAAATCTGTTCAATATATATACAATGAAGAAGAGTGGTTCAATCCTCAAAGTGTGGAGTATCCATTAAGTGTAGAGCTACGTCTTTAGGGTTTAGGGTTTAGGGAATGTTCGATGAATGAATTATTTATCGCGTTTATTTTCTGAGCATTCAGTTTTGGTTGAAAATAATTTAAATATGGTTTGATTGTGGTTTAGTATTTGAGGTTGATATTAAATGTTTATAAATGATTTGATTGTGGTTTAATGTTTTGAATTTAGTTTGAGAATGATTTGGAAAGAATTATAAATGGTTAGAATCAAGATAGTGAAATTTGGAATTTATTAACGGTTTAAAAAGGGGTTTTTGTTTATTTAATTAAGCGTGATGCATACTTGAGATTTAGTTTGGTTTTGAAAGATTGGTGTATTGTTTGAGAAAACCGAGAAATGATTTGGGAAAGAGTTTTGGAAAAAGGGATTTGTGAAAAAGGGAGTTTTTATGTTTAAGTGTCAAGAAGTGGATTTCAAACCCACCCTAGGTACCCATCCCCAGTTGCCTTTGGAATATATTGGTTGCCTTCGGAATATATCGGTTGCCTTCGGAAAAGTCTGTGCACATGACTAGAATTTCATGTACCTACATAGAGACTACTCTGTACGTGTCCAGCCAGAGTATATTGCATGTACCTGTGTTGATCACGCAGGTGTTCCGCAGTGGTTTGCCTGTACCTGCAGTAAGGTTATTATGTAGGTGTCTAGCCAGTGAATTGCCTGTACCTGCTTTTGTAGGTGTTCGGCCAGTGTATTCCCTGTACTTGCTTATGGGGTGTCTGGAACAATATGTTGGGGTCTCTCTCTCGCTCTCTATCTCATACAAACACTTAATAATATGTTGGCTTCTCAAGTGTTTTGACGGTTTTTTTTATGATGCAGGAAGTCCCTATTACTCAAGACCTATTTCAATTTGTTGTTCCTGGAAATGGAATTCCCAAGTGGTTCAATCATAAATCTGTTGTGAAAATACCTGTAGGATGTCTATATATGCCTAGAGAAGGTTAAACAGGCTAATTCGAATTTTTTGCAATAAATAACAATAAACTTTTGAAGCAGGATTGATATGGCCTATCAATCCTGTAATGTGCAGAGCTTAAATTAAAAGAACACACAGAGAATTATTTTACGTGGTAAAACCCCACATCTGGGGAAAATCCACGGGACTTCTCAGTCCAACACAAATCCACTATAGAACGATGATTACAAGACGTACTCACACACTTTATCCTAGACACACTCTAGATAATGTTTACCGACTTCTTCATAACTCAACTTCTGTCACAGGATGATCTTCGACACTCCTTATGTTGAACGCAATACTGGCCACGATTGCTTCAAGCTCACCGGAGAAAAACCGCCACCACGGTCTTGGTGCCCTCAACCGTATGAGTCACCGACATGCATATGAATGCAATATGAATGATTAAAGTGTTTGATAAATCACCAAGTAAACATTGAACACTTGATGATTTATCTCAAATATGCGCACAGCAACTTTTCTTAGAATTCTATATGCTGAAAACAAATATCTCAAAAGCTATTCAAATAAAAGAATGGCACATGATCTTTTATACAAGCCTTGTTCTCTCTCAAGGGAGAGAAACCAAATAGGCCACGAATCTACAACTTCCTATTGCACCACAACCTATCATCAATAAGAGATTTGATTCACCTTGGACTCAAAGTAATGACGCCTCTCTTTAAACCAAATTAACTAAGAGGTAAGCAACAAGCAAAGTCACAATAGGAAAAGATAATATTTTAACTTCAATTAAAATAGAGTTGAACTAGGAAAGTAATCTCAAGAGATAAAATCTAATCTTATTAAAAATAAGATTAACATAAAAATACTTGAGTGAAAATAACTCCAACTAGGAATCCTATAATGAATGCATGATTATGTCATGATTTACCTGAGGTCAAGATTCTCATATGATCAGGACATGCCTCGGAAGTGTGGGGTTGAAAGAGTAGTGACAAAGCGTTCAATAACAATTCCTCACTAACTAATTTTCACCCTATACTAAACTCTAGGAAATGCCAATACGAATTTCGTACTAGCAATCTCCCCCTTTGGCATTTCCTGGACAAAACACTGGATTACATTTCAAATACGTTTACAAGAAAAAAAAACTACATATCCTACTTTGCTTTGTCAGACAGATATTCAGTTCTTGTAATGTCTGCACAACAACAACCAGACGACCAGTGAAGCATAATAGAATTGAGATAATAATAGCCAGAACTTAGCACAATTAAATATTTCATATGTCAGGAGGTTAAGCAGAGTACCACAAGTTCTGATCCCAAAGACAGAAAACATTAACTCCCCCTAAACCTCATATGTACCACAAAATATTTACTCCCCCTAAATTTCATATATACCACAAAATATTCTCCCCCTTTTTGTTTAGGAAATCCAAAGGGACACAGAGAGGACCTCAAAAAGAAAACAACCAGAAGCAGAACAGAAGAACCTTAGATGCTGCGAGCCCGAGGAGAACGGGGAGGAGCAGTAGGCTGAATGTGCCCAGCAACAGATAGCAACAGCTCACTATAGGTGTCAAGACGATTCCAGATGCGACGAAGAAGTGCATGCGTCACCTGATGGGAGGCAGAGAGTGAATCCAAAAGAGCCTGTTGCTCGATGGAGAAACCACCAGAAGTACAGTGAGCATCGCTGCGGTGTAAAGTGACTTGGTTGTTGACTTTGAGGGAGTCGGATGAGCCAATATCATCTGTAGGTAGGGCAGGCACACGAGCATGAGCGGCCAAGGCAGTGATAATCCGAGGAAGAACAAGACTGGATGTCGGAACTGTGGCATTGGCAGCACCAGCGACAATAAGGCTTTCACGAACATAGAACTCAACACTGACAGATTGCTCAATCACTAGCTGGAAGAGAATATGAGCAGCTTTCCAACTCACTTTCCCATGTTGAGAAGTGGGATTCAGATAGTTTCGCACAAGCATATACAGAGTACGGGTCCACTGAGACATCATACTAGAGGAGAGTTCAGTGGGGAGCACCTCCGGTGGAGACACATAGAGGCGATTCACCAGCTGACGACGTGGAAGAAAATCAGGAACTGGCTCACACGAACTTCCAGAGCGAATAGGAGGCAGACCCAGGGCAGCCGAAATAAAGTGGAAACTGAGCGGAATCGTAACCCCACGCACACACACAACCAAACCAGACAATGCAACAGAGGCAGCAGATACATCAGGAAAATTTGCATAAAACTCCCGAACAATCTGAAAATTCGGTAGAGGCAACCCACGAACTAATGGCAAGAGACGATGCCTAGTGAGAAAATCAACAAAAGTGGGGCCAAAACTAGAGAGGTCGAAATCCTCTTCGATTAACAGAGGACGATGACAGATTACATCTGTATACCGAGTAGCACACACCGGAGAAACGAAGTGGGAGGCCGGTGGATGAGGGGATGCACGAGACGTTGTGCTGGAGCGCGAGCGCCGGGAGGAGGATGGCCGTGATGGGCTTGCAGTCGGCGTGACACCCGAGGGAGGAGAAGGAGCAGTTCGGCGGCGCACGGAGCGGGAGGGGCTGTGATCAGTAGCAGCAAATGAGGAGGTACGACGGCTCCATGTGGTGACCATGGTGATGCGACAGAGCAAGACACGAAGTAGCAGACGCCATGACCCTTGGGTGACAGCAATGGGGGCTGAAGAGAGATCGAATCTGATTGAGGAAGAGGATGACCTAATCTGCACAGTTTAAACACACAGAGTAAAACGCACCGTGTGGTTGCAAGTTTGTTTTTTTTGTTTTTTTTTGTTTTTTTGTTTTTTTGTTTAATAACCAGATCAAGAACTTACGCACAGTAGTGTGATGGCAATCCAAAGAGAGACAAGTGCATGAGAAGAAATATTCAAGGACTTCAAGAAAAAGAGTGTGGTGTGCAATATAAAGCTAAATAGATGGATAGATCATTTAATGAAGTTTATAATGCACCAAGACAATGGAAACCTTTGTGTAAAGCTGTGAGTGTGTGGCTTCAATAGAGTGTTGTACCAGAGCCCAATCTAAGATCAGCAAATACGTTCAGACAACTACAGGATTGATGCAGCCTAACAATCCTTGCACGAGCTGGACAGAGTTATAAAAATAGAAAATAATTTAAACAGCATACAGCAAGAATAGGCATTGGCATGCAGTAGACTCCGAATCAATCAAGAGCACAAATACCTAATGACTGTCTAAGGGTTTCAAACCGTAGATTGTCTAGAGGTTTTGTGAAAATATCAGCTAATTGTTTTGCAGTAGAAACAAATTCAAGTGAGAGCACATTCTCTTCCACTAATTCACGAATAAAATGGTGACGAATATCAATGTGTTTTGTGCGAGAGTGTTGAACCGGATTTTTAGAGATATTAATCGCACTCATGTTATCACAAAACGTGACCATTTTACCTTGCCGAATGCTGTAGTAATTGAGCATTTGTTTCATCCAGCAGCGATGTACTCGGCCTCGGCCGTGGAGAGAGAGACACAATTTTGCTTCTTGCTAAACCAAGAGACAAGGTTGTTGCCTATGTAAAAACATCCACCAGTTGTGCTTTTTCTATCATCAATGCTCCCAGCCCAATCTGCATCGGAATAGCCTGCAAGTTCAACATTTGAGTCAAATGAGTAGTATACACCAAAGTTTGTGGTACCACTCACATAGCGGAGAATTCTTTTCACAGCAAGTAGATGTGATTCTTTGGGATCGGATTGGAAGCGAGCACAAAGTCCAACACTGAAGGAGATGTCAGGTCTACTGGCAGTCAAATATAACAAGCTGCCAATCATGCTTCTATATAATTTCTGGTCTACACTTTTGCCATGTAAATCCTTGGAAAGTTTGGTGCTTGTGCTCATAGGATTTCGAATGGGCTTGGCAGATTCTAGACCAAATTTGGACACCAAATTTTTGAAATACTTTGTTTGAGATATGAACATGCCACCATTGAATTGTTGGACCTGCAAACCAAGAAAAAAATTTAGTTCACCAAACATGCTCATCTCAAATTCGGTTTGCATTACCTCATGAAATTCTTTGACAAGGATGTCTGAAGTAGATCCAAAAACAATATCATCCACATATACTTGAGCAACCATTAAATCTTGTTTGGTTCTTTTGACAAAGAGGGTCTTATCAATGCTACCACGAGTGTACCCTTTTTGAAGAAGGGACAATCTATCATACCATGCTCTCGGGGCTTGTTTGAGTCCATAGAGAGCCTTTTTCAGACGATATACATGATTGGGATGGATAGGATCTTGAAAACCTGCAGGTTGTTCCACATAGACTTCCTCTTGTAAAACTCCATTTAGGAACGCACTCTTCACATCCATCTGATAAAGCTTGAACTGAAGATAACATGCAATGGATAGCAACAATCGAACAGATTCTAAACGTGCAACCGGAGCAAAAGTCTCATCAAAATCCAAACCTTCAATTTGAGAATAACCTTGGGCAACAAGTCTAGCTTTGTTGCGCATAATTTGTCCTTTCTCATCTGTCTTATTTTGAAAGATCCACTTGGTACCAATTACATTTGAGTCTTTGGGACGTGGAACAAGATACCACACATCATTTCTTTCGAATTGATTTAATTCATCTTGCATAGCCAGAATCCAGTCGTCATCTGCAAGAGCATCTGTCACACTCTTAGGTTCAATAAGGGATACATAACATAAATTGGTTACCTCATTACAGACTTGTTGTCGAGTTCTCAATTTATCATTAACATTCCCAATAACATCTGAAGGTGAGTGATCTTTCTGAACTTGTTTTGCACCAGGTCTGCGTATCACAGGATTGATAGGCTGGTTACAATCCTCGAAGTCAGCTTCAGTACCATCTGCAGATTCGTGAGTTTCCATATCTGTATCTTCACTCCTAGGTTCAACCTGCAATATAGAAGTGTCATTTACAACCACATTAGCTGATTCCATTATTATTTTAGTGCGACTATTAAACACCCTATATGCTCGACTATTCATAGAATAACCAAGAAATATTCCAACATCACTTCTTGCATCAAATTTTCCAAGATACTCCCTGTCTTTGTAAATGTAGCATTTACTACCAAAAGTCCTTAAGTGCTTGACATTTGGTTTCTTCCCTTTCCAGATTTCATATGGAGTGCTCTTGGTATGTGGCCTGAAAAACACACGGTTAGATGTATAGCATGCAGTACTGATGGCTTCAGCCCAAAAATGATCCGCCAATTTGGCACTTTTTAACAAGACACGAGCCATGTCAAGGAGGACTCTATTTTTCCTTTCAACTACCCCATTTTGTTGGGGAGTGATTGGAGCAGAGAATTCATGTTTTATTCCTTGTTCAGAACAGAAATCAGAGAAGGCACGATTTTCAAATTCCATCCCGTGGTCTGTCCTAAGTCTCATGATACAAGAATTAGTGTCATATTTTTCATTCATGATTAGCTTGTACAAAACATAGAAGGAATTAAAGGCTTCTGTCTTATCATGCAAAAAAATGACCCAAGTAAAACGTGAGAAATCATCTACTAAGACAAGAATGTATTTCTTTCCTCCTAAGCTAGCAACTTGAATTGGACCAACCAAATCCATATGCATCAGTTCCAAAGTTTTAGAGGTGGAGATTGAGTTTGTAGCTTTGTGAGGGTTTTTGGTTTGCTTTCCCAGTTGGCAACCTTCACAAACACCCTCACGTTTACCTGAAAGATTGGGCAATCCTCTTACAGATTCACAATTTGACAATTTAATTAGGTCTTGATAGTTCATGTGTCCCAAACGTTGATGCCATAAATCAAGATGATCTTTACTTGTCCTAAAACACACTTGAGAAACTTCATTAGTGGAAAAACAATAACAATTGTCAGGTGATCTGTTTCCAATCATCACATTTAATCCATCTTTATCTTAACAATACATTGGGTTTTAGTAAAACTTACCTCACCTATTTCATCACAAAGTTGACTTACACTGATGAGGTTTGCTTGAAGATTTTCAACTAATAAAACATTGTCCAAGCTAGGTGTACCAGTTGCCATAATCTTTCCTTTGCCCAAAATCTTGGATTTTCTTCCATCTCCAAAAGTAACCATTCCACTCACGCATTCTGGAGAGATTTCTGAAAAATATGATTTTTCACCAGTCATGTGTCTCGAACATCCACTATCAAAATACCAAGATTTAGATTTAGAGTCAGAAAGAGCAGTAAGAGCAACAAAACATTTCACATCTAATATTTCAGGAGGATTAGTTTGATGTGAATCACTTGAAATTGCCAGCAAGCAATTTTGATTATCCTTTCTTCTCCACACTAGATTTGAACTTGGTAAGGATAGGGAATGAGAGAGTTTTGACAGCCTACTTACCTCTTTTACAAGATATGCAATCTTGTTTCGAATTCTTACCTGTCCCTCCTTGGTGGACTTTTGACTTACAAAAATCTGTTGAAACAGTTTGCATTTTGGTCAAATGTGTCCACGAGCTCCACAATAATGACACGTGGGTGTAAATCTCCAAGTTGTTTGATGAGTTGGAATCCCAGTAGAAAGTGATGGTTTGACAAACTTTGTAACAGATACAGCGAAAGACTTGTTGAGTGAATCAAAACCTAAGCCACGTTTGTCTCCATCTCTTCGACCCATGCTAATCATTTTGTCAACCTTTTCTGCACCAATTGTCAAAGCAATAATCCTTTCCCTTGAACTTTTAAGCTCAATTTCAAGAGCTTGGTTGTTAGAGGTCAAAGAATCAATTAATTTATTTTGATCAAAGCATTTTTTCTGTAAGAATTCCAATTTTTCGTACATACCTTCACACATACCTTCACCAATTGTTTCTGGTTCAGCAGTAGAGGATTGTAATGTCCTGGCAATCCTACTGTTTTCAAGCTCCAGCACAGCAACCTTTTTGGCAAGCTCTTTGTTGTGTTGATTCAGTTTCTGAGAGGCAGCTAGAAGATCGTCATATTTTTCCAGCACATAACCAATATTTGGTTCTTCATCATTCCCATTGTTTTGCTGTGCCTTATCCAAACTAACAGTGGTGATTAACGCAATGGTATTTTCTTCACTTTCAGATTCTGAATCGCTGTCACTCCAGGTTACATTCAGTGCTTTGGCTTTGCCATTTTGCTTCTTTTGTGTGTTGGCACATTCAGTGGAAATATGTCCATATCCTTCGCATTCATAGCACTTGACTCTGTCTTTAGTGGTCTTCTTCTCAGTAAACCTGCGAGATTTTAAATTACCATCAGTGTAATCACCATGCTTAATTTTTGAATTTATACCTGAGTGATTTTTTGAATCATGACTTCTCGAATTTTGATATTTGAAAAACTTCTTGAATTGTCGTGAAAGATAAGCAAATTCCTCCCCATTGAATTCTTCAGATTGGTGTTCACCATCTTCATTATCAACTACTTTAAGAGCAACGCTTTTATTTTTCTTAGGAGCTAGATGCTTCATCTCGTAGGTTTGAAGCGACCCTATAAGTTCACGAACTTTCAGAGTGTTCAGGTCACGAATCTCTTCAATGGCTGTGATCTTTGGTGAAAAACGTGGAGGCAAGGACCGTAAAATCTTTTTCACCACCCTATCTTCTGGAATTTTTTCACCTAAATTTGAACATGCATTCACAATAACGCAAAGTTTGGCATAAAATTCAGAAAAGGTTTCATTCTCATCCATCAGAATTGTCTCGAATTGTAGAGTGTGCATTTGAAGCTTGGCACCCTTGACAATATCTGTTCCTTCATGAGTGACCTGCAAAATATCCCAAGCTTCCTTAGAAGTATCACAACTAGATATATATTCAAATTGATCAGAAGATACAGCAGTAAATATAGCATTTAACCCTTTTTGATTATTAGTACTGTGTGTGACTTCTGCAGTGGTCCACTCCTCTCTAGATTTGAGAACTATGGTTTCTTCATCTCCTTTTCCGATCTTCTTTGTGGGTTCAGAAAATCCATGAACCACTGTGTACCATACACGTTCATCTAAGGACCAAAGAAACGACTTCATTTTAGCCTTCCAGGCACCATAGTTGTTGCCATCGAAATATGGTGGATGTGCAACAGAACCCGCGGCACGATCCATCGTAAGGTATGTTAGATCTTGCTGAGTATGTCCAGCAACCTGCTCTGATGCCAAATGAAAATACCTGTAGGATGTCTATATATGCCTAGAGAAGGTTAAACAGGCTAATTCGAATTTTTTGCAATAAATAATAATAAACTTTTGAAGCAGGATTGATATGGCCTATCAATCCTGTAATGTGCAGAGCTTAAATTAAAAGAACACACAGAGAATTATTTTACGTGGTAAAACCCCACCTCTGGGGAAAATCCACGGGACTTCTCAGTCCAACACAAATCCACTATAGAACGATGATTACAAGAAGTACTCACACACTTTATCCTAGACACACTCTAGATAATGTTTACCGACTTCTTCATAACTCAACTTCTTTCACAGGATGATCTTCGACACTCCTTATGTTGAACGCAATACTGGCCACGATTGCTTCAAGCTCACCGGAGAAAAACCGCCACCACGGTCTTGGTGCCCTCAACCGTATGAGTCACCGACATGCATATGAATGCAATATGAATGATTAAAGTGTTTGATAAATCACCAAGTAAACATTGAACACTTGATGATTTATCTCAAATATGCGCACAGCAGCTTTTCTTAGAATTCTATATGCTGAAAACAAATATCTCAAAAGCTATTCAAATAAAAGAATGGCACATGATCTTTTATACAAGCCTTGTTCTCTCTCAAGGGAGAGAAACCAAATAGGCCACGAATCTACAACTTCCTATTGCACCACAACCTATCATCAATAAGAGATTTGATTCACCTTGGACTCAAAGTAATGACGCCTCTCTTTAAACCAAATTAACTAAGAGGTAAGCAACAAGCAAAGTCACAATAGGAAAAGATAATATTTTAACTTCAATTAAAATAGAGTTGAACTAGGAAAGTAATCTCAAGAGATAAAATCTAATCTTATTAAAAATAAGATTAACATAAAAATACTTGAGTGAAAATAACTCCAACTAGGAATCCTATAATGAATGCATGATTATGTCATGATTTACCTGAGGTCAAGATTCTCATATGATCAGGACATGCCTCGGAAGTGTGGGGTTGAAAGAGTAGTGACAAAGCGTTCAATAACAAGTCCTCACAAACTAATTTTCACCCTATACTAAACTCTAGGAAATGCCAATACGAATTTCGTACCTGCAGTAAGGTTATTATGTAGGTGTCTAGCCAGTGAATTGCCTGTACCTGCTTTTGTAGGTGTTCGGCCAGTGTATTGCCTGTACTTGCTTATGGGGTGTCTGGAACAATATGTTGGGGTCTCTCTCTCGCTCTCTATCTCATACACACACTTAATAATATGTTGGCTTCTCAAGTGTTTTGACGGTTTTTTTTATGATGCAGGAAGTCCCTATTACTCAAGACCTATTTCAATTTGTTGTTCCTGGAAATGGAATTCCCAAGTGGTTCAATCATAAATCTGTTGAATATATATACAATGAAGAAGAGTGGTTCAATCCTCGTAGTGTGGAGTATCCATTAAGTGTAGAGCTACGTCGAGGTTGGTTTACTGAAAACTGGATGGGATTTGTAGTGTGCATCGGTTTTGCAATCCAGGAAAGATCACCTAATTGCGACCATGCTCTTAAGTATCCTAGTTTTGATTACAATTATACACATATTATTACTTGCAAAATGGACATCAATGGAAAGGAGACGACGGCACTTAGGCGTCCATTTGTGATTCTTAATGCAGAGTTGGGGCAAGCTGTGTCTGATCACCTTTGGATAGTCTTTTTTCCTCGTCACTTTCCTCAGTTGTGGAAGGGTATCAGCGATCAAGTTGAATTGCCTTCTGGCACAGAGTGGTGGCAAGGTATATTTGGTCAGATTACATTTTCAATTACAGCCAGAGTTGGCCATGGAGTAATAGTGAAGCAGTGTGCCGCTCGTCTGGTGTACGAGGGAGACTTGGAAGAGCTTGACCCAAGATTTAGCCTCCGGACCCGGAGTAATGTCAGCATTTCTGAGGTGGATTCAGAATTCCCCTCTTACACAAACAAGTAGGAGCTAGTGGATGGAAGTGGTTAATAAAATCTTTTCGATTAGGAATTCATCAATCAAATTACAAAATTACATTTTCATAACACATTCACTTGCGTAATCTTGGCTGTTTTTTTCTTTTTTTTAGCTCTGTCTTAGTTTTTTTACCTCATGACTTGCTTTACTTCATCTGTAAGTAGGGATAAAATTGTAGATTTTGAACAGATGAATGCAACCACAACAGCAATGAGAGCCACCACAACTGGGACAACAAGAGTAATGATCCTTCCTTCCAATGCAAGTGGCCTCACTATGTACTTTCTTGATACGTTGTTTAGAAGCACCGAGTATTATAGAAATGAAAAATTACAATAAAAGAATTTAAACATTATGTGACTATGATGCACCTCAGGTATAAAAAGTAATAATAATTCTGTTTTCAGTAATAGTGGCTACCATGTTTCATCACTTTAACATTATATTAGACCTCTTAAATTGAAATATCTTCTTGCAGATGTGGGCTTAGCCACGTTGATTAGAGCGGATCTCTTCTTCCAGTGCCCATTATCGTTCTTTTCAACGTTAATTGAATCAAATAAAAGAGTAAGTAAGTAATTCTAAATAGAAAATAAAAACATTGACCGGAGGAACAATCATATAATTTGGGAACAAATAAAGAATTTCCTAATGTTCAATCTATATAGCCCATGAATGACACAATTTTACATGGGCTGTGCCAAAGTGAAAAACAAATTGTTTTTAAAAAATACGTAATTTTTGAGGTGCCAATTTATGTTTATAATATATTAGAAGATTGCGGTCTCACCAATACTCTTAAGAACCAGAGTGTACATGTGCCAAAAAGATATGAAAATGCACCTAGCATCAAGGTTGTCCCATAATTATATTTATATCAGCAGGTTGTGCATCAGCAACTATATATGCCTTGTTTCGTCTCATGAGTAAGAATGTCATTCTATCTTCGCCGCCATGTCCTTTGGCATGCACACAATAAAGTCAAAGTATATACATTGATCATTCCAAGTTAACATTGATAATTTAATAAATGAAATATTGGGGAACTTAATTCCATAATTTATCATGAAGACATGTGGAACGGTCCAATAGTTGACGAGAGTGATGAACTATCAACAAAATTTGCAGTAGCAAAACTACTTGAGATCAAAAGGGCAAAAGATGTTGGCGAGAGTTGACTTGCATTTCACACCAAGATTATGATTTAATTTATTTCTTGCATTGCACACCAAGATTCCCGTATTGAATTAATTTATTTCCTTTCTATTTATTATTTCATACTGTAAATAGAATTAGGAGTTATAGCTTGATTTGGCCTCCAAAGCTTGATTGTACTATATATATATGGCTTCCTACAAGAAGAAGAGTACATATAAAATTCCAACAATTATTTTCTCATATTTTAGCAAAAACAAACCTGATAGTGCCTACAAACCTCCTTATCATCCCAAGTAAGTTCCATATCTCCCTTCCTCCGTCATACTCCCTCCGTCAAAATACGTGTTGGAATTCACCAATCAATTAAAGCAAGAATAAACAAACAAACAAAAAATCCCATTAGAACCAGTATTTTTAAAATCAACAAAATTTACCAAATTATAACGTCCAAATGCTCAAGGAGGCAAAACTAGCAAATGGGTGTATAGAAAAGCAATGAGTAGTCAGTGTTTATGCGAGTTTCTTGACATTAAACTCAGCTCACTAGAAGCCACTAATATAAAGAAACCCAAAGCAAATTTAATGTGTAGTACCAGTACCACATCAGATTCCAGGGAACGACAAACACGCCACTGCTTTGAGAAGAAAACAACGTTCCCGAGAATAAGGGCATAACCACCCAACTTCCTCCGGTCATTCAACCAAGCATTCATGTAACATCCCGACCCAAATTAATTATTATTTAATTAATTTGTGTAATTTACAATTTTGCCCTTGGGAGGTAGGGTCATTTTGGTCATTTTTAATCTGGAAGTTTTTTGGGGAAATGAGTGACATTGTTGCATAGAGCTCATTGATACAAGTTCGTAGACACGTAGTGGGCCAAAATCGGAGTTTTAACGAAGAAGTTACGGCCAACGAAAGTGTAGTGGCACAATTGTAAATTTTTCAAAGTTGGATTTTTAAAAACCCACCAGTCTTCTCTCTCTCTCTCTCTCTCTCTCTCCCCACCTGTAAGCGTGGCGACATCGTCGTTTTTCGAAGTCGATTCCGGCACCATTTGGCCACCAAATCCGACGCCACAACTTGCAAAATCTTCATCTCTTCTTCCTCTACATGTCCATCCCCATTCCACCTTCGAAACTCCAATATTGGTCGTGATTTTCGACTGAAAACTGAGCCGAAAACCTCCGTTCGTCGCCGGAACTGTTCGTGCAATTTCCGATGATTCCACCAGCCAAAATTGTCGAACCAGGTATGAAACTTCATTTACTCTTCGTGCTCTACTTGTTTATGTGCTTGGTTTGGGTTAATTTTGAGGTTTAACAGATCGATTCTTAAACCCATTTTTGGCCAACGGTTTTGGCTTCCATTCGGCTAGTTCCAGTTAGTTTTTGGCCTTGGTCCAAGAATAAAAGTTGATCCCCAAGTTAGTCTAAATGCATTTAGTATAGGTATTGTAGGGTGTTTGGAGAATTTTCCGATTGTCGGAATTTACTCAAGCCCCAACGCTATGTCGGCACGTGTGGCAGCACGTGGGCCACTCTGTGGCGGGCCATTGTGCCCTAAAATTCTTCCCATGTCATCCTAAGCACGACAGTGTGCTCGGATTCAAATTTAGTTATGGTATGACAGTCGAATGGATTTACACCTGCTAGGCGATATCTGGGTTTGATATGTTCGGACAGTTGGATCGGCTCCATTTCTAAGTATGTTGTTCTCTATACCTATAGGATCATGTAAAAACTTGCGGATCAAGAATTGGAATCCTAGATACTCCAAATCAATGATTCTAGTATTAGGCGAAGCGATCACCATCCGATCATGCGATTGGTTTACATTCGATTGCTCGATCGAGACCAAACTTATAGGACTTGTTTAGTACACCTTGTCAAACCAATAGGAACTTTCAAATTGTAAATCGGAGGTCATGGGCCTTGTGGGCCCAGCTGACCATCGGTTGATCAATATGACTAGTTTGACCGAACAGTTGACCAGGGGTCTTTTGAGACCATCTCGTCTCTTGTTGAGTGGTAAAATGGCCTTATGGATTTTCTTAAAAGACATGCACCCACTGTGAGTCCCGAGAACTAGAGTTTGATCTTTAAAGTTCGGAGTTGGGTTCGATTATCAAGTTAATCTTATAGTATTCTCTCAATATGTTTTCAAGCGCAACGAATCACTTTGAACGAAACCGCGGAGAATTGATTGTGCTTTGGACAGTGTGTCAGTGGACACTTGTTTTACAATTGATTTTTCTTGATTTGATGATTTTATGAAATGTTTGATGAATGAATTATTTATCGCGTTTATTTTCTGAGCATTCAATTTTGGTTGAAAATGATTTATATATGGTTTGATTGTGGTTTAGTATTTGAGGTTGATATTAAATGTTTATAAATGATTTGATTGTGGTTTAATGTTTTGAATTTAGTTTGAGAATGATTTGGAAAGAATTATAAATGGTTAGAATCAAGATAGTGAAATTTGGAATTTATTAACGGTTTAAAAGGGGGTTTTTGTTTATTTAATTAAGCGTGATGCATACTTGAGATTTAGTTTGGTTTTGAAAGATTGGTGTATTGTTTGAGAAAACCGAGAAATGATTTGGGAAAGAGTTTTGGAAAAAGGGATTTGTGAAAAAGGGAGTTTTTATGTTTAAGTGTTAAGAAGTGGATTTCAAACCCAGCCTAGGTACCCATCACCAGTTGCCTTTGGAATACATTGGTTGCCTTTGGAATATATCGGTTGCCTTCGGAAAAGTCTGTGCACATGACTAGAATTGCCTGTACCTACATAGAGACTACTCTGTAGGTGTCCAGCCAGAGTATATTGCATGTACCTGTGTTGATCACGCAGGTGTTCTGCAGTGGTTTGCCTGTACCTGCAGTAAGGTTATTATGTAGGTGTTTAGCCAGTGAATTGCCTGTACCTGCTTTTGTAGGTGTCCGGCCAGTGTATTGCATGTACTTGCTTATGTGGGTGTCTGGCCAGGATTTCCCCTGCCACCTCGTTGATATACTACATAGGGTTGACCAGTTTTCCCCATATGTATACTTGGGTGGAGAGTTTTTGTATGAAGACTGGATTTCAGTTGAATTATATTTTGAGATTGCTTGATTTATTGAATTCAAAGAATGGTTTGAAACTTGGTTTATGTTGAATTATATTTTTGAGTTACACTAACAGGGCCCACCCAAATTCTTCAGAATCTGCGACGAATCTGGTGGAATTTCCAACATCAATTGATGTCAGGCCCGCTTACTAACATCAAGCCCTTCCATTGTAAATCCATACACCCGTAGCACTTATCATAAAAGTAATTAGAGAAAACCTTTCCTCTCCCACAGGCACAGTCATAAGTAGTTGTGAAGATTTAATCCACAACATTCATCAATCAAAAATCGTTTTCAGCCCCATCACAACCACAAACACATTTTAACTGCATCTTTTCAATAAAAATTGGAATATAAATAGGAATTTAATCTCACCTAAGTTTCAATCGGGCTTCAAGCCATCGACAAATCTAAAACCAACTCAACAAATCTGATAAATAGAATTTGACCCCAATGAACAAATTAAAGTTTCAAAAATATAGTTTATCTCGCGGCTGCACCTGGGTGAGACCCCAGCCTACCTACATACCCTGAGGGATCAAGCCACACGTAGTTCTTCAGTCAACAATCACAAATTAAAATAATATACGATTATCTAAAGTAAACCAACAATTAAATTTAGATTTATTTACAACATCAAATCTCGTTAGGCATACACTAAACACTTTACAAGTTCCTTTCCTTTTATCTGTTCTTTTCCGCAACCATTCCCTA